CAATCAGTTCTAATTTGACTTGGTGAATAAATAAAAAAAATAAAATTTTATTTCTAGATGATAAAGTTGCTTTAATTCGGGAGATAGAACGGGTAGAAAAGAAAAGTGATGTGGGACGTCGATACGGATCTACACTGTCGATTGTATCCAAGATTTGGAAGTGCAAAGAAAAAATCATTCAGGCCGAAGCGGCAGGCAGTTCTAGTAAAAAACCAAGAAAGCCAAAATTTGAAGATTTGGATCTGGCAATGTCGAAAAACTAAAAGCAGAAAAGTTTGCTGAACACCTTGGCATTATCGATTTCAAGGCTTCGGAAGGATGGTTGGGGAAGTTCAAATAGGGACATGGTGGCGAGGCACCTGATGTCGACAGAAACGTCACTAACGATCGGCTGGAGAAGACGTGGCCGAAACTAGCAGAAAAGTATCCTGCTGACGATATTTTTAATGCTGACGAAACTGGTATTTTTTACAAAATGACGCCAGATAAAACTCTTAAATTTCGAAGCAAAAAGTGTGTGGGTGGAAAACTCTTTAAAGAACGTATAACAGTGTTAGTAGCTGCCAATATGAGTGGGAGAGAAAAAAGAAAGCTAGTCGTGATTGGAAAATCAACTAACCCACGATGTTTTAAGAACATCAAGCATTTGCCGGTCACTCACAAGGCAAACAAGTCCGTATGGATGACATAGCAAATTTTTGAAGAGGAGATACGGAAATGGGATGCAGAATTAAAGGGAAGCAAAATATTACTTCTCTTAGATAACTGCCCTGCACATCCCCATATTCCAAATCTACGGAATATTGAATTGGCATTTCTTCCATCCAAAACAACAAGTGTATTACAGCCGATGGACCGGAGCGTAACAAAAAGTCTTGAGAGTCGATACAGCAAAAATATTTTAATGGAAATAATCAAGTCCGAAGACAAATTTTCCATGAATATGCTAGATGCAGTCAACTTTTATTAGTAAAGTTTGGAAAGAGAAGAGAGCAGAAACAATTCAACATAATGCGAACAGGACTTGGAACATGATCAGCCACTAAGACAGTGGCAGTTTCGAACAACAATTACGTTTACAAGTGAGGAGTTGGAAGATTTTATGGTGATAGATCAGGATTTGCCTACAACAGCAGACTTGACAGAGGAAGCCATGTTACAACAAGCAAGAAAGAGTGAGGAAGAGCGCCACGAGGAAGAAGTTGACCTGGGACCACCACCAACCATTCAAGAAGCCCTTTGTTCAGTTAAGCTGCTAGAGAAATTTTTTATGTAGCATGGGGAAGATGCCCCTCTCGAAAAAATACTAGCCAAAGTACGAGATGTGTATTGGCATATTAAAAAAATTCAAAATAAAATGACCGATTATTTGAAACATTAATTGTAGTTCTTCAATATTTATATAAAATGTTAGTAAGTAGATGTTAAAGTATGTGTATAAAATAATTAAATGATACAGTTACTTTTTAGGTGTCTATAACTCTTTATAACGAACTCTTTATACAGAAAAAAGGCAGTCCCTTCAATTTCGCTATATAGAGTTCCGACTGTATTTCCTTTTAAATATTTGTGCCTATCGCAAATAATATGCTGTTGCCATATAAGTTCAGTTAGTGTAAGGTGGCTATCATGGCATTGAACAAAACAAGTGCCAAAGTGCTGCCACTATGATTTACCATTTCATAGTTCACCATATTCTTGCTTATGAAGATCCAAAGATTATGTAAATGTATGTGTGCATTATTTATATAGAATAAGACCAAGGATACGCGATAACGTTGGTGAATATTTTATTTACGAAAAATAAAAACAAAATTAATAGCTCACAAAGGATAACAATTCTTGTAACAGTTGTTCAATATGTCCCCCACTTTGAGCAATACAAGTAGTATAAATGGTTTTTAAATACGTTTCTAAATTCGGTCCCATTTAAATAACCGATACCTTCTTCTCTTATCAGACTTTCAAGTTTCTCGTCAGTTGACGGTTTGTGTTTGTAATTAAGTGAACCGTATAGAAAAAAATCTAGGGGAGTTATGTCATTGTTCTATAGTGTTCATTTAAATAGGTGCTAATTTCTTGATTTCTGTGACAAGGGGACAAAGGGATGGATAATATTTAAAAGCTCTAAGTAGTTTTGGGAATTTAAATTCTCAACAAAAAATACTGACCTATAATTCTGAACCTCCAAATGGCGTACCATACTTTGACTGAACTCCACCTGATCTTGTAACTTCCATATGCTTTTACAAATTTACAAATTTTAGTTGAAGTTTTATATATGGACTCATCTGTCCAAATAATGTGCTGAACATGATACCCAAGCAAGCGCTAAATAAATAAATCATGCGTCCAAGGAGGCAGCGTTCGAGCACTTGTTTTCTTTAATTTCCTTCATAGCCACCCCATACTAACTGAACTTATATGGCAACAGCATATTGTTTGTGATAGACAAATGCTTAAAAGGAAATATTTCAAAAAGCAAAAATTTTAGGCATTTACAACCCTATATAAAATTGCCTTAATTTTTAACGCTAAATACGACAAGATTATAAAAATAGGTAGTTTCCATTATAAAAAAAGTTGTTTGGCAGATTTTTTAATTTCATATTTAATCTTATTTTTCGGGTACCCTGTATTAATAATAATATAATCTTTATTTAATATTGTGCGACATAAAAAATACAAAATATAAATTCTAAGTATGAAATTAACGGAAGATAAACGGAAACAAAAGCTAAGCATACAGAAATCAGAATTTTGACTTTACATGACGTCTTAAAAGTCTTTTAAATTTATTAAGAGTATCGCTGTTTTTAAAATGTTTGTTAAAATGGTTTAGGCCTGTATGTAAAATAGAGTTTTGTACATGACTAGAATAACATTATCTCAACTTCTTGTATTGCAGATATCCTTGAAACATAATTGGGAACACACTACCGTTTAAAATTTTAAAAATAAATACATAGACATTAAACAATACTTTTTGCTTTACAGATAAGAAATAAAGAACACTCAAGATGCTTCGAATTGGCGAATATCTGTTACACTTTAGTATACTTCCCATGGGCCTATCTTAAACAATCTGCAATTACTCTAATTTATAATTGGGAAAATTGAACAAACGTGGGGAACAGACTTCTAAACGGGGAGCAGCTAGGCTGTTATATAATAATTTTTGCCCTATTTTAGATATAAAATTAATTCTTTTAGAAAATTTATTCATTATGTTATCGGCATGTGTAGGAAACGTCAGATTTGAGTAAAATATTTCTATTACTATTAGGTACATGTGGCATGACGTAATTCGTTTATGGAAATTTCCTATAAGTTTTTGACACAATTCAGGTTCTATGCCGCCTATTTCGCGTCTAATCTCCTGTTTCAGCTCTGGAAGAGTGTTTGGTTTATTTCTATTCACTCTGCTTTTTAGATATCCCCAAAAAAAAAATCTAGGGGAGTAAGATCGCATTATCGCGGCGGCCAATTGATATCGCCGTTACGTGAGATAATCCGACCAGGAAACTTGCTCCGCAGCAATTGCATCGTTTCTCTGGATGTGTGACAAGTGGCTCGATCCTGTTGGAGCCACAAATCTTCAATGTCCGTACGTTCCAACTGCTCCCGGAAAAAATCAGATATCATGTTTCGATAGTGAACATCATTAACCGTAGAATACTTTTTGAGGATACATTGCTTTTTGAACAATCTCTCTTGGATTTTCTAATCCCCTAATAATGCACTTTTTCTTGATGGGTCATTTTCATAATAGGCTTGCACAATTTATACACGTTGTTCAGTAGTATATTGCTCCATGACTAATTTTGTTTATGTTTTGAGGTTAGAAATGTCATATGATAATGAAAAAATACAGTGGCGTTTCAAGAATATTTCAGATTGTAATGTGGAACTCTTATTGAATCACCCGTTATGTAAAGGTGAGTTTGTATGACGGCATCTATGCTGAAAATGTAATTTTATCGTTTTTATTTTATTATTGTCAAAAATATGACTCCATACACTAAATAGCGCGTACAGTTACATGAGTACTTTATTCGCAATAATAAAAATAAAGCATTGGTTCTTCGGGATTACCGGCAGTTATATTCAGCAAGCAGATTACCCACTAAACAGATTTTTCTTAGAATAGTGCGCAACCTACAAAATGGCTCGGCCATAGAAAACACCACTACGAGCGATGAAAAATACCAAATGCAAGCCTCGCGTAACATTCCAGCCGCAAGTCGCAGTAGCATTAAAAACGCTTTGCATGTAAATAATTATTTTCCATTTAAATTCCTCCCTGCTCAGTTATTAACAGCTGAGGATAAGGATGCACCAGCAATATTTTGCGCTCTGATGATGCGTTACTTTAAATCCAATATATTTGAAAAAGTATTGTGGACTGGTACTGGTCTACTAGTAACAAACACAGTGTTAAAATCAAGGGATCTAACATGAAAATAAATAAGAACTAAAATTTTTACATGACAATTCTTTCGACAACACCGTGTCTTTATCAAATGTAATATTTACAAACTACCTTCTACTATATATACCGAAAAATGACCATAAAACCCTCATTAATGTTGTTGTGAGAATTTAAGTTCAATAAAGGAGAGGTATTTAAATCTAATTGATCCTTAAACAATATATTTGAATGTCTCATTTTGTTAATCTCGATGGCTTCCAATAAATTTAATTTTCTACTTTTTATGGCTGTATGTAAAATAACAAAATTGTCGTCAAAAATGTGCTTTTAGCATCATTTTTGAAATTTGTATAATTAAAATTTGCAATATCTTAAAAACACATACTAAATAATCGTTTTTTACAAGGATTACAATGTTTATTTTTTTTAAAACATTAACCTTGTTTTTTTTGCCGTTGTCGCCCCACAAAAACAATATTTTATTAAAACGGGTGTTAAATATTAAACATTTTATTGAATTATGAAAAAAAAAAGGCGAATGTATCAATTCTGTTTAATTAACTACGAGTTACAAATATATAGGTGTTGGTAAAGTAAAATGCCAGCATCTCTCACAGAATTCGTCAGCCTCGCTGTATTGTATCTGAGATTCTCCTTGACAGTGCTCGATCCAGAATCGTCTCTCCATTTTAGGTAACTTGTGGTACCACGCCTACAAATATTTATACAGGTTGGTCACTTTTGTACGGGTAACTTGCAAACCATTAAACATTTAAGGTGGTTAAATGGGATAAAAAGGTGTCTAACTAGATGAATAAATAATAAATAAAAATAAGAAAAATAAATAAGCCACATAAATTGCAAAAAAGGAGATAAACGCAATTAAAATTGTTCCAAGTTCAACTCCTATATAGTACATAGCAACCATTTTAAAATCATTAGGTCGCGTCAGATAACTACAGTAAAAAAAGAAAATGTGTACGTGTATATAAAAATCAAAAATTGGATAGAAAGTTTTAGGACTGAACTTACTCGAAAATCAGTTGCAATTTGCTTGTTGGCTGAACATTTGGCTTTTTTTTAAGTTTAATGGTGATAAGGCTTTTAAAGAGAGAATAATGGTATTGTAAAGTTTGTAAACGTTATAGGAGAAGCTTCTCTGAAAAAGAGACGTTCTGTGTGGTGGCGGAGATATAAGACCCCTGAATCTAAGATTCAGTCTGTGAACATCTGTCCGATATGTTGTTTTATTTGTCAAGTAAGGAGGACGGTTATTAAAAATAATGTTTTGAAAAAATACCAAGGAGTGTAGTCTACGCCTATTCTGCATATTCAACCACTTAGCATCCTGTAGTTTGTGTGAGACTGGATCATATTTTCTTAACGTACTGGGGTCAAATGAATATAATACTAATACAAAATTGCTGGTATAAATTGTAAATAAAAGTGGCCCCAGTATGGAACCTTGCGGCACACCGCAACTAACAGTTTCTCTAGCTGATTCACCTAAACTTGTTTCAACATCCTGAATAGTGAATAACAATTTTACAAAAATAAAAATTGTAGGATGCAAAATGAGACTTTTCGGTATTCATTTATTTCTTCTACTTTGGAGAGCCGATTCTTTGTGAAAACCTGAGCTAAACTTATAGTTTAATTGTCACGAACCTGCTGGGAGTGGTTGATCCATGAGAGCTCCAACTCGTTCCCGAACTTCGTGGCAACATCTGTCGCTTTTTTAATCATTTTAAAAGCATCTGTGTAGTTATTGGTTTTCGCTAGGTAGTAATACGTTTTGAGATGATATAACCTGCAAATTCATAGTTATGCCGAATCTTGTAACCTAAGGACATGTTCTACGCCTAGGAAAATGAGAACCACTGATTTAGTATTGACCCAAAAACAAAAATCGATCGGGCTAAAATCTGGGCTACGTGCCGGCCGTTCAAGAAGCGAGCCATTTATGGGAACAATTTAAAATAAAGACAATTTCTTACAGTTAGCTCAAAATAAAACAAAAAAAAAGCTTTTATCACCCTGGCTTTGGTACATAAATTTATCTGGCAAGTCGAAATACTTTTATACAAGAATATGCGCGTCGCTTAAATGGAAGAAAAGTAGCGCATGTATATGACAAATAACAATAGATACAGGATGAAAATGAAAATGTACATTTTTGAAAAACCACTATATGTTTCTTATTATAGAAGTTGAAATGTTCAAATTTTGAGTGTCAAAAAATGTTGGCTTACTATGTTGAGTACGGCCGAAGTCAAGTCAAGTTTTTCTTATCGGCACCATATTGAATTTCTATATTTTCAAAAACCTCTGTAAAAATGCTTTCATTGGTCAAGATAAGTCCGTAAAAATAACAAACATGAGATTTCAGCATAGTAGGCTTAGTTATTGCTATTCAATTTTAAAACGCATTTAAATAATGAGCGGACAAGACAGAGGTCGAGAAAATTGAAAAGAGAGGATCGAGAAAAGAAGTCACTAAAATTTTTATACATACCTTTGAAGACAACAAACGAAAAAAATACACAGAATTTTACAATATTTAATTTATGTTGTTTTTCCTGTTTTATATTTGTCTAAACATAAATGTGTTATACATGGCACGCAACGTAGGACGCCTAATTTTTTTAAAATCCAGATCATTTTTTGGCATATACATACATACGTTAGTTTTATTCCATTTAAGCTACACTAGATCTCTTACAATTTCCAATATCATCTGTACTTCATCTTATACTGGACACCCTGTACAGAGAATTTTATGTATCAAAAATTTATCGTAGGACCACAAATTCAATATGCTAATTTTTTTATTTATTTATTTTTATTATTTTATTTTTTATTTATTTTTAATTTATCAAAACTCCGTTTTGATGAGCTATAGAAGATGGAAATGTTTAAACACAACCCTATAATGTAAATATATTTTTGTACAAATAAAACAATACACTATAAAATCTGGAAACCCATGGCAGATATGAACAATTCTTGGACTCTCCTGAAGATTTCAATTATTATAATTTTATTCATACAGGGTGCCCCAAAAATGTCCCGCAGACATCAACTTTGTTATTTTAACTGAAACATTATGTATATTTCGACATTTTTGAAATCCTTGGTTCAAATAAGTGACCTAAGGGGACAGCCTTAAATTCAACAACAACGGGTGTTATCTTAAACCTCGAATATCTCAAAGAGTAACAGAAATTTAAATATAAGATAATTTTTTTGAAAAAATTGCGATTTTGTTGAATGAATTCGCCAAAACAGCGTCAAACCTATTGAGTAGTGCATCATCTCCTTAGTCTGTGGTTAAATTTTCGTTGCAATATCTGGATAAGTAGCGTCACAACACAATTTTATATTGAGCAATAATTTTCTGCCTAAATTATGCAAAATTCGAATAGGAATGTTTCAAGAAAGTGACCCTTATTTTAACCAAGGAATCCAAAAATATCGAAATATACAGGTTGTTCTATTTAAAATAACAAAGTTGATGTTGGGGACACTTTTGGGACACCCTGTATCAACAAAATTATAATATCTTAAATCTTCAGGAGAGTCCAAGTTTTGTACGAAACTCTTTTTCGTATCTCCTATGGGTTTTCACATCGTATAGTGGATCGTTTTATTTAGCACACTGTGTACATTTTTCGATGTGAAATGTGCAATTAAATTTTCTTTCATTCATTATTCAAGGTTGAGAAAAGAAAATCGCGGAACAGATTTTGCAGATTTTACCGCACGGCTTACTCTTTGACGTTTGTCAATTCTGACAGTCATGTCAGTGAAGTATTCGCGTTGTTTTTCAAAAATGTACCCGAAAACTAACGGTCGTAGAAAAAGTATAGTATGCTATACTATTCCCAATAGGTGACGCACCTCGGCAAAATTATTTTCACCGATTTGGATGCTTTGAACAACTCCTTAAGCAGCTGATCGATTCGTCTAGCGGCGCCGTCAGCGGCCGCGATATTTTTCTTGTCCATTTTCATCACCATCAAAACGATCAAACCTTCCAACAAATAAAGAGCCGTCGACAGATTCGCCACCGTTTCACCCTCGCTCCTCAATCTGAAATTCATGGCGTCTTCTTCCCAAATAAAAGCCCCCTCCCAGTTTCCCGTTCGGATATTCCTGCGTGCAAAAATATTTGTTCTGTCATTATTATTATTAATACAGTAGAGACTCTATATAGCGAAATTGAAGGGACTGCTTTTTTTCCGTTATAAAGAGTTTCTGTTATAAAGAGTTATAATAATACGCATATGGGTTCTGTAATTAATTATTTTATATACATATTTAACATCAACTTAGGAATATTTTATATAAATTCTTAAGAACTACATTTAATGTCTCAAATAGTAGGTCATTTTCTTTTGAATTTTTTTAGTATGGCAATACGCATCTCGTACTTTGGCTTGTATTTTCACTATTTCTTCGAAAGGGCCATCTTCCCCATGACACATAAAAAAATTCTCTAGCAGCTTAATTGAATATAGGGCTTATTGGTGGTGGTCCCAGATCAACTTCTTCATCTTCTTCTTTCTCTTGGTGCTCTTCCTCACCCTTTCTTGCTTGTTGTAATATGTTGTAGGCAAATCCTGATCTATCACCGTAAAATCTTGCAACTCCTCACTTGTAAACGTAATTGTTGTTTGAAACTGCTTTATCCACTCGCTTAGTGACTGATCATCTCTTCTCCAAATTTTACCAATAAAGTTGAATGCATCTAGCATATTAATGGATAATTTGTCTTCGGACTCGATTCTTTCCATTAAAATGTTTTTCCTGTATTGATTCTTAACACTTCTCATTACGCTCTGGTCCATCGGCTGTAATTCAATATTCCTTAAATTTGGAAAATGGGGATGTGCAGGTCAGTTATCTAAGAGAAGTATTTTCCTAACCTTTAATTCTGCATCCCATTTCCGAAAAAATACCAATTTCGTCAGCATTAAACATGTCGTCAGCAGGGCACATATCTGCTAGTTTTCACCACGTCTTCTCCAGCCAATCCTTAGTGACGTTTTTGTCGACATCAAGGGCTTCGCCACTTATCTGTCCATAATTTGTACCATGTTATACAGAGTTTAGCTATAGGGCGTTTTCACTGTGCTATCGTTATGATATTATTATTATCATTATTATTATTATTATTATTATTATTATTATTATTATTTTTATTTTTATTAATATTATTATTATTACTCTGTGACCTATTATGACCTATTCGTAATAAAAAATGCTTCTAGGGCTTAAAAAGTAGCAACGAAAATCTCATTGTTATTTTTTTATATATTCTTAAATAAAGCCAGAAAAAAAATAAAAACAATTTTTTTTTTAGTTTTCTCAACAGCACTTCATTAATCATCTTCATATCGCTTATGGTTTTCAACATCCCAATAAAAGACATTCTTATCTTTTTCTTAAATTTTTTTTATTGTATTAATTATTAACAATTAAAATTGAAATACTTCATACTTAAATTTCTCTAAGGATGTAAGTATGAAAAGAAAAAACCATCTTATGTTTTGTTTTATTGTCACGCCGAACTTTTTATTTTATTTTATTTATTCTTTTTATTTATTTATTGCTTTTGAATATCTGCTCCACAATAAAAAAAATAAATAAAAATATAAAATTCGTCCGGTGGAAGAAAACGGGACATTTGAAAGCGGCAGAGTATTTTCATTCATTCGTCTTCGCCGTATGGCGTACAGGCTTACAAAGCGAAACAATATGCAATTGCTCAAAAAAAGTGGTTAAAGTTATTTTCAAATCATCATAAATAAAGATAAACCAATCTTTGATCTGATTAAGAAAAAATGGATGCTTTTTTCAACCTCCTTGAAGAGCTTTACATCGCAAACTCGTATTTACGACATGGATGAATCGGGACTCACAACATAAGAAAATAATATCCACAAATAATCGGTCACAAAGGTAAATGATAGATAGCTGCACTAACATCAGCAGAAAGAGGATCTCTTTTGATAATAGTTGTTTGCATGAATGATACTGGTCATTTGGTGCCACAATTCATTATTTTCCACAGAAAAAATATGAGTGTTCAATGTCCTCATTGTGGATTCAAATGAACATGTTTACAGACTGGTTCAACCACTTACACGACTCCTGAATCAAGGGTTTTACTGATATTACATGGACACTAAGTGACATTCACAAAATCGATGTAATAACGTCAACACCGTTTCGTTACCGCCACATACGATTTACAAATTGCTGCCGCTAGACAAGGATTTCATGGGGTCATTAAAAACATACTACAGTGTAGAAATACATAGGCTGATTCAAAACAACAGACCTCTAAGTCCGTGTGAAATGGCGGAGCTGGAAAGTCCTATTTGAAAGTACAAATAAATATGTGTTCAGCGATGTGGACTTTATTGCTTCCCACTGGAATCCATATCTGAAACTGGTGGAGTTCTGACAGACATACCTAAAGAATTGCTAATGCACAATCTGAACCAGCGCCATAGAAATGAAGAAAAGTATCTAAAGCTGTAGCAACAGTCAGGACATCTTCACTTTACAAAAATGATTGACAAGACAAGACAAAAAGAAAACTGCGCAAAGAAGCAAGCAAACGAAGAAAAATAAGAAGACTCTGAGGAACGGGACGTTATCCAGTTTGATAAAGACGATGAGTTGATGGACCAAGAATTTCCTGACCCTACTGATGAAGAATGCATGTTCTATTCAAGCTTTATTAATTAAGTAACTTCTTTCATTTACCACAATATGTTATTTTCATTTATTTGATATTTATGTCTATTTGTGTTGTTGATATGATGATTTATGCTTATAGTCCATATATGGGTACCTATATTACTTATTTACTCATTTGTGGTTTTTGTTTTTGTGTTAGATTATAATTTGACAACTAAAGGCTGTTAATTACTACATATAAATGGTATTATAAATGTTATAAAAAAGTTATTCCATATTTGGTGACTTTCCTCTATTATTATATGAAAGCAATTCACCATTCGAACATTTTTTGTTTACAAAATATTCTGAAAACACCTTTTTTTTAAGTGTACAGTTTATTTTTCACCTTTTTTTTAAGTGTACACTTTTCTACAGCAACCTTTTAAGCATTATTGATTTTATGATTAGAAATTTCTTTTTGTTCAATTTCATTTTGATCAACTTTTCCGTTACTGTCACATGATTAAACCAAACCTTTAAACATCCATGCTTATTCTTCCTTGTTAAATAAGGGCAAAAGGCCATTAGTTTTTTTCAAAATTAGTTCAGAGCCATTAACAATAAATAATTAGGGATAGTGACTTCCTCATGGTATCCCATTACATATAATTTTTAAGCTTTCATTCATTTTATATTATTAGCTAAAATTACACGACGCCCTCTAGCGTCTACTCACATTATTGTCGTTTATATTGTGGAAGAAACACAATTTTAAACTTGCCATTTTCACTTACCAGAGCCAAATGGACAACGCGAGTCTTACTTTCGCATCTGGATCTCTCAAAGCCGGTTCTCTGCCTTCGCTCTGGCTAAACTCCAAACATGTGTGGAAAGGTTCGATTATCAACCCCGTTTCCAAATGGAATGCCAAGCACAGGGCGTAATACCATGACTTTTCTACAAAACGCTAGTTAACTGCGGTCTAGAGATATGGCACCATTGAAAGTGTCCTGAAAGTTCTCCAGAACTTCTAATGGTATCTGTAGTGTAATTTAAATACAAACGTTGTTTCTATCAAAATTGCCTTTTTTTTATTTTCCTAATCGTCATATTTTTAAATAAAACAAAGTTACATTCTTTTAAATAGAATACCATACATTTTATTGCATTTTGAGTATGGATCTTTGCTGGACCGTTTCAAATTCCTGTTATGGGTTGCTAAATAACCTTTTTAAACTTTTTCTTTAGGCAATGATAAAATTTAAAATATTTTCTTAAAATACACGGTGTTGCCACATTTCGCAAACTGATACTTTTCTCAATTTTCTTAAAGGAGACACCCTGTATATTATTGGATTTTCAAATAGCCACTGAATTGGCAAATAAAATTAAACGCTAGGTATAAGATTAAAATTATTATGATATGAAACTGGGAATTAACTGCTTGTTCACAACCGTTTTAGACCATTGCTAAGAAGTCATATTAAAATCAGAATCTTGCGCAATGTTGCCAAATTTCGCAAATGACTTATTTCTACGTTTAAATGCCTACTTGATGATTTCAAAAAAATTAAAACTAATTACTAATGCATGTTACTTACAAGTAAAATTAATTAAATTAGTTTTTCAATATGTCCGCCGTTTTGAAGAATGAGTAGAAGAAGTAGTATATGCTATTTCTAAATGGTATATTACATTCGTTTCATTAGATTTCATAGACTCAACAAAAATGCAACTGAATAAAACAAATAGAAAATAGTCCCAAAAATACGCTTAAAATATTATAATACCTGTCAAAAAATCAGTAAACAGAAAACTACTATTGTTTTCAAAGCTACTGCGATGATTGTTAAAAATGTCGAAATTAATAATATCAATTTTGTGTTTCTACCTTTCAACAGGCAGATTTCTACATATTTTTTAAAGATATTAAGAATATGAATATTTTTTTATAGTTTTTTTCCATTTAAGGACCTTATTTATAAGATTCTTAAATTATGAATGTTTAAGAATTTATCCATTATTGGAAAATAATTGCCAATTAACGCCAAGTCCGAAACCCGTAGTATATTATATAATTGAAATTGCTATTTGTAAATATACAGAGTGTCTCATTTAAGAACACTGAGAAAAGTATCATTTTTCGAAAAGTAAATTTGTTTTACCAGCCTGAGTATAAAAAACTGACGATTGGGAAAAAAAAAAAGATCATTTTAATAGAAACAACTTGTGTATTCCAATTTTTTGTTTTGTTTCGAGATAAGGTATAGGCTCTTAAGGGAGCCACCCTGTACCTGAAATGTCTGTATCTTCAAGAGACAGCAGTAACACCTCTTGCGTGATATTTTTTGCTTCGCTCATGTGTTTCCTCATGAGAGCGAGCTGCATCAGCATCGGCAGCATCGACAGCAAAATGAGATACTCGTGCGCAGAGGATCCCATTCTCCATAGCAAGTATCCAATGTGTATCGCCTTTTCTATTTCCGATCTGACGGTTCTAAATAAAAACGTTTCGACGTAATTACTGTTCGCTGTGCGTTGGAGACACGTGAGGACTATTTATTTGAAGGATATAGCTGAAGAGAAGAAAGGATAATTGAGAAACGTAACATCCCAAAAATCACAAGGACGTAGCGTATATCCTAGGGATATACTGTTTCAGCTAAGGGACATCCTTGAGACGTCTCAAGGATATACGATCTTACTAATTGGAACGTCCACAATATATCAGCTAAGCTCTAAAAGAATAACTAATATTTGACAGGTTTTTTGTCATTCTTTGGTGAAAGTAGCTCTTTTCAGCCAAGCAGCTATTGAATTCTCGCATTCTTTTAATGTTTGTGATGTGTTTGCTTTCTTATGCGCCTCTGAAAATATGAGCAAGACAGGTTTTATATATCTGTACTTCATAAAAAAATAAATAAAAAGAACGAGACTGCTGTCTTATATGTTCAAAAAAACAGATTTAAAAAATCCCAACATCTGCCTTTTACGTAAAGGCTTAGTGATCTTCACATATATTTATGTATTTCATTTCATTAAATATGAACCTCATTAAACTCTCATCGGTAAGATCTCTTTAATGAGAGTAAACACTATCGCGGGCAAGAAAAACTATAACAAATATGATTTTTCAGTAAGGTAAAGGCAATGCAATATATCTCGTCAACCTAAAAATATAACTAGTTTTTTTATGTGAAAATTGTATGTTATGCAGGATGATTCCTAAAATTAAAACTTTGTTTTTGGGGGGGTAATTCTTTCATCCATTTAAAGAAAAAAATATAATAACTATACCATATAACTAAAAACATAATTTTGTTCTGGGCGATTTTCTCTAACATTACATTAAAATTAGTTTAGTTTTGATGCCTAAATTCAACTGCTCAAAAAACATGAATATATAATATATATTTTATTAAATTATATTTCTTATACTTTTACATTTACGTAATACCTACTTATTAATTAATTTGACCAATTTTAATTTTAAAAATGTCTCCATTTTCTATATGCCCAACCAATTAAATTTCATTGCAAGTTCATTTGAAATCAACGGTGTCAGAGCTTGTTTTACAAACTTATAACTGATGCTGTCGCCTGATCTTGCTATCTCATTAACCTAGCAAAATAATAAAAAACAAGGTAGCTTAGAATTTATTAATTCTTATATTATATATTACCACAAAGCTTTACTTACATGAATTATTAGTTCTTCAGTAATAATAATACCACAAAAGAATAACTGAAATGAAAGTACTGAAAGCAGTAAGCATAGTACACAAAATACTCAAAATAGACGTCGTATACCACCAACAAAAACAAGGCTGAAAAGATGGCGGACGACGAGACGGAGGAGAAGCCGACGACACTCGAGCGAGTCCGGCACGGCACGACCGCGAGTAGTTGCGTCATTGGTTCCAGGCAAATGAGATCTTATAAACGAATATATTATTTTTACGTTTTTGTATTGGTTTTACTTAGATGAATCCTTATTTTCTGCGGTATTTTTTATTAAAAAAGCGTTTCTTATCTCGTTCGGTCCAAAAATAATAACAAGTTGTTTCTAATGGTTTGATTCCGCTTTTTTTTTAGGACTTGACAACACTGACGTCGATGTAGATGTGGACAAAAACGTTGCCAATAACAAGTCTCCCAAAATACCATAAATTTAAAAAAAACAAGTATTTTCCTTCTCAGTTGTTCAAAATTTAACTTTTTAGGTTTCATTTTGTTTTACGGTTTTTCAGTTTTTCCCTTATTTCTATTCTAATGTTCCTATTATTGGGGAAGGAGATATCCTTAGGCCATCTACTTAGAGGATATCTGTGGTATATCGTGTACAGTAAATATTTGACAGTCTATTCTTAGTATAACGTATATCCTAAGAATATGATGTAAAGTCTGTTCACAGATATAAGAAAGTGACTAACTGATACGAATTAAGGAAAGACCCGGGAAAGCTGTAAGAATGAAACATTGTAACGACGAATGGCAGATTTCAGTTGGTGCCAAACATGTTCAATGGGATTAAAGATACAGTGGTAACGTGGAAGCCTTAAAATGTATGCCCTAGATTTTTTACATAATTATAACAGACATATTCCTTTTGTAGGTTCAAGCTTTGTAGAACCTCATTTAATTGCTTTTTGGTATAATCTTCGTGAAAATAAATGTCGTTATTATACATGTAGTTTTGGATTGTTGCTTTTGTGTCACATAAGCAAGAGGTTTTAGTCAACTGTCTACTGTGATAACTTGCATTGTCCATTACAATGACGCTATTAAGAGGAATGCTTGGAACTAGTTTGTTTTTAAACCAACTTTTAAATAAATCGACGGTGGTGTCTTCATGGTAATCCAGCGAAGAATCTTTAATATTTTTCGCAGACAGAGAAAGTCCATTTGGAATCCAACCAGTATGCAAAATAGTTTTGGTTAGTTTTGGTTAGTTGGATAATTCAAAAGCAATTGGTCACTTTGTTATATCTATGAACAGACCATACCACTAAAGTTCATGGGAACGGTATGTCAAATTTCTGTGGGAAACTTAAATTATAAGTGTCATTTTATTTACCTACTAGTCCACCAGATTTTAATTGTAGCTTATAATACGTCCTATTTAAATTGTCTGATATATTGCACAACATATTTCTGTGTATTAGTTTTTGGGTACATTTTTGAAAAACAATACGAATTGACAAACGTCAAAATTTAAACCGTGCGGTAAAATCTCCGAAAACATCCGATTGCTCTCAAACCCGTGCGGTAAAATCCCGGAAATGTCCGAAGTGGCTCGGATCCGAGGGAAACGGTGTGTAATTAGGTATTTTACACACGGGAGTAGAAAAATACAAATGGAATTCGTTTGGTTCTTGCAATGTATGGTACAATATCTTGTCTTGTCTAGCTCTAACATCTGCTTCTGCCTATCAGCATTTGTATTCTTTGTATTATCAAGTTCAAGTGTGGCTAGACAGAGATTCTACAAGAAGAGGAAAATGAAGATGACGAAATAATTGTTCAAGTAGAAGTAAGACTATTGTCTATTGTAACAACATTTACAAGAAAACAACTTCCAATCATTAGGATACGATCTAATCAAATTTTCTTCGTTACCATAGATCTTCAAGTAAATCTACTAGGGAAAACACGTTACAAAAAATGTACCAAGTACATTAGCTCATAGGTGGTGAGGAATTGCGTGCATATTATTGTCTAATAGATCTTGTTTAGTGTAATTCGGGTATAACGGCATACCTGGCGAAGAATATTTCGCAGTACATTTCGGCCACCGCTTTCAATTCGTCCAGCTCTACCGCGGACCTCTTCCTGCTGCAGAACTCAAAAGCAAACACTTCTAGCGCGACGTTGTGCTTCTGGTGCCCGTAGTGAGTGCAAATTTTAATCATGTTAGCGTAAGCGAGGCAAATGACGTTAAAGTCCGTGGACGATTTCAACGCTTCCCTCAAGCTCCACATGGCCGCCAGCTTCGCGTAACTCCAATTTTCTTTGGCCTGAACGATACAGTAGAGTTTTTCGAGATTATAGTCCATAGCCGCTTACCAAATAGTAGCGACAGAGATACGTGAGGCATTCGGACACGTCGTTGCAGTACTGAGAGAAATCGTCGTCTTCCCTGCTTTTCTTGTGCAGTTTCGGAAACAAGTATAGATAAATGTTTTGCTGGAACGCTAGAGTCACCTTTTGAAGGTTCAACGCGACATCGTTGACTGGAAAATCGACCCCTGGGAAATATATATGTTACATTTCAAAAATAGAAATGATATAAAAAAATTCATTGCCTAAAATAATATGCTAATATGCTGTTCAAAATTTTGAGGTTGAAGTAGTATTTGATCTTGTTTGTTTTTTTTTTCAAAGAAACTTCCAACTTCTGGTTTTTTGTTGAGTCGAACTTGCTGACGTTTCGCCAATCATGCTGTTGGCTTCTTCAGAGTTTGACTGAAACTGGCTCGCATTTTAATCTGTACTTGCTTACAAATTCTTTGAGGGGGGCGGAGCTAAATGAGGGGTATAAATACCGTCTCGAATGACTGATTCAAGGTCAAACGTACGAAATTGAAGTTTTTTCCATTTTTTTTTTTCGAAAACGGTAAGTTTTATCGTGCAAATAGGTCAGATAAAAGTTGTAGATCATACAAAATTGTTCAGGCACTTTTTTCTTACTACTCACCATCCGTGAGTTATCGCGGTTTGAACTCTAAACAAATTCATATTCTACATAATATGTACTTAAACGCAGCCTATACACGTCATCAGACGTTTAATATAAATAAAAATAAGAAGCTATGGGTTTGCGTTACTTATAGAATAAAACTTGTATAAATGTATATTTAAAAATAAGGGACTATACTGTCAGTTCCTAATTCCCTTTGGCTGTAACCTTGAGTAACATCTGCTAGCTACATCATTTTTCCGAGTGTGGAGGCTCGTATACCTGCTTATTTTTGAAGAAAGTAAACGAGATAATTCAGTATATATCCTAGAAAAAGCAGCACCAGATATTTGAACACCTTTTGGAGGTTCAACGCGACATCGTTAACTGGAAAATCGACCCCTAGGAAATATATATGTTACATTTCATTACATTGCCTAAAATGATATGCTAATGTGCTGTTCAAAATTTAAGGTTCTGCGATGTATTCTGTGCCGCATATGCATGGAATGCTGTAAACTCCGGGCATCTCAAATGGAATTTTGTCCTTGACGGATCGAAGATGTTGAGAGGTATTAGGACAAGTGGTAAATCTGGTTTTGACTGGTTATATTTCTTTAAAACATTTGATATATGGTCAGTGATGTTTTGAACGTATTGAAAGGTTGTGGTGAAGTGTATTTAGTGATGGAACGCTTAATATCTTTAATGCGGAAATTATTAGAGAGAAGAGCAGAGATAAGTTGTTTTAATTCTTCGTTCAGTGACTCGGGCTGAGATAATTTAGAGCCTCTGTAAACAAGATAACCGATAACCGATTATTTTTTTTATGATATGATATGATATGATACATAAGGGTATCGGTCTGGGTGCGAAGGTTTTCTACAAACAAAATGACCCCATGTTAGGTCCGATTTTCTATTGATGGGAATGTCTAAGAATGGGAGGTTGTTGTTAGTTTCTAGTTCAATGGTAAAACGTATGTGGATGTATCAAGTTTAAATGTATAAGAAAATATACTAAGGATTCTTGACCATGACGCCAAATAACAAAAGTATAATCGACGTTGTGTTTCCATAATTTTGGTTTTAGATGAAAGGTGTCGAGAGCTTTCTTCTCAAAGGCTTCAATAAATATATTCGCAATGACTGGTGATAGTGGACAACCCATAGCTGTTCCCGACGTTTGTTCAAAAATTTGACCGGTATAAGAAAAATATGTTCCACCGAGCTGCTATACATAATAGTCATACATAACAATTCAAATCACCGTTGTACACACAAAATGGCTGCATTTCACTCTTTTATACACAGACTTCTTAATACGCCACTCTCAATAGAAAATTACAACAAAGAACTTAATGTCATTAAACAAATTGCACTGAACAACAGTAAAATCTATTTATCCGAAACCTAATACAGAAGTCGAACAAGTTAAAACAATTACATACATAGGAGAACCCAGTGAAAAAGTTTCAAGACATTTGTCGAAATGTAGTTTAAAAATAGCTTTCAGAACTAACAACGCGATGGGAAAATTTTTAAAAAACAATAAAAGAAATGTCCAAAACTCAAAAACCAGGTGTCTACAGGTTGAAATGCGGATCTTGTCCTAAAATTTATATTGGACAACCAGGTAGATCCTTCAAGAAACGCATTAACGAACATAAAAGAGCGTTTAAAAACAATGGTCTAGATTCTAATTATGCTTAACACTTAAACCCAGGACTACAATTTTGATATTTTACAAATAGCCACAAAAGGTAGAAAATTAAATTTATTGGAAGTCATGGGGATTAACAACATTAATTAAGGTTTTATTATCATTTTTCGGTATATATAGTAGCAGATCGTTTGTAAATATTACATTTGATAAAGACACGGTGTTGTCGAAACAACTGTCATATGAAAATATATAATTTTGTGAAAATCTTAACTTTTAGTTCTTATTTATTTACTGTATACTTGCGAATGTCTAATATTTATATTTAAAAATAGAAATGAATTTTACGCAAACATAATACACAAATATAACACTCGAACCCAGAATATTACCTTACCTAGTCACAGACTGTCAATAACAGAAAAAGGACGTTATTGTATGCAACTGAACTCTGTGAAATGTATAAGCACTGTTAGAAAAGTATTAGGGAAATTAATAAGCCTAGAACCTAGAATCAATCATTTCATTTGTACCTTTTTTGTAAAGCAACTTGAAATAAAGGAGAGAATTGGGCAATTTTCCAAAATCCAAGATATTTACCAGTCAAGACGGATTGATTGTTGTCGATGATTGTTTGATATTATTTACAAACCATAACAATCCAAAGCGTTCCTTAGCAGTTCGTATCCTTCGTTCATTTGACCGATCTCCATCCTCGCGTAACCCATGATAGTGTACAGTTTACCTCGCTTTAAAGTGACCATCCAGCTAAGTTCCATCGTTTGTTTCAAGTTTTCCTACGACATAAAGAAAATCGTTCGGTCGGCATCAAAGTGACGTGCGCTAACATTCAGCAATTTGAAGGCGTCCTCCAATATTTTAAAGGAGTGGGGCACGTTTTGCGAATCTATACACACGTAGCAATATTCGATCATGGTGTTCAACAATTTCTCCATTAAACCTGAAAAACCGGACGCTAAGATAAACAAAATCTGCATTTTAAAAGGCTGTTTTAGAAAGGTGTGGAGTAATAAAACCAGGTGTGCCTAGAGCAACTCAACGAGATTAAGTAAACCGCTTTCATTGCTTGGCATTGATATCGTATGACATAAATTTTTCCTTTTTTTTTGCAAATAGTATGGTAATATTTTAATATTTCAAAAATTAATGGTAATTAAATTTAATTAAAGAGAGAGAGGGAGAGAGAGTGAGAAGGGATGAAGAGAGAGAGAGAGAGAGAGAAAGAGAGAGAGAGAGAGAGAGAGAGAGAGAGAGAGAAGGGGTGGAGAGGGAGAGGGTGGCAGAGAAGGGGGAAAGAGAGAGAGTGGGGAGTGAGCGTGAGAGAGGAGGAGCGAGAGTGAGAGGGGGGGGAGTGAGAGTGAGAGAGGAGTGAGAGTGAGAGATTGGGAGTGAGAGTGAGAGAGGGGGAGTGAGAGTGAGAGAGGGGAGTGAGAGTGAGAGAGGGAAATATAAAGAGGAAGAGGGGGAGAAAGAGAGAGAGAGAGGGAGGGAGGCGAGAGAGAGAGAGAGAGAAAGAGAGAGAGAGATACAGAGCATTAAATAAAAGTGTGAATTGAAGAGGGATTGTGTTTATTTGGTGTGTTAACCCAGTACCTACCAGCACCGCTGCAATGTTCGATAAGTTGCGTGTACATCGTGCTCAGGATGAGCAGACACGTGCAGTGACTAAAGTCGGCATCGGAGAACGTTTTGATAATGTTAAAGTCGTCTTTGTACTTTCGGACCATCCTGTAACCGATGCCCGTCATATCAATTCTCGATTCTGCAAAGCTTACAACTGAATTTCCGAAATTGACGGTTATCGTTATCGTCACCTTCAGGCTCGTCTTCGAAAAACCTCGAGCCGGAAAAAGAGTCCGATATGTGGGACATCGTGGAAACGGTCGTTCCCCATTCCCTCGCCATTCCCGTTTCTTTTCCCGACCTCGTGCTGCCGCTATCCCTGCTGAAAATCGAATATTTCGTTTCCCTATCGGATCCGATCAAAGTGACGCTGGTTTGGTCGCTAGATAGCGACGGTGATATCTTTCTCTCCTTTCTTTTTATCGTTTTTGTCTTTCGCAACTCCTGCAAGTTTGTCAAACGTTTCCGGGGTGTGCTTAAAACATTTTTTTGCACTAATCAAGCCTGAACAACAAGGTTATTTTTTAGTTTTATCAAAAATTATTTATTTATTTATCCAAATTAATGTTGTACCCTTCAAAGTAATCCTCTCCACACTTGTGCCGACGTTTTATCTTTAATTAATTTATCTTTTATTTAATTTTATTATGACGGAATAAATGTTCAAAAATGTGCCCTTCTACATGAACATGTTCAGTGGTTTCTGGGAAATTCCTTACATTTATTGAATGACAGTGTTGTGAACTTCTTGAAGAAGTTGACGTAAATCATTTGCACTTCCCGTACCCAGACGATTAATTGCGAAAACAAGCTACTTCACAAACCACAATTTTAGAAAAAAAAATTACCCTTTGTTCAAAATTACGGATCTTGGAGTAGTTCTAGGAGGAGATGTATCACATAAGCTAGCTACTTGACGACTGCCGACCAGGGGATTATGTTGAAGTGAAATTTCCAATTCTTTTTCCTCAAGATTTACCGTTTTCCATTTTTCATATTCAATACTACCACTAATATCAAACCGTTCCATTGAGAGATTGTCTAGTTGATATACGTTTATTAAACTTTCACTGTCAACAATGTATCTCACCTATCTAAGTTCATATCTGCATTTTTATGGTACCGCCGAAAAAACAGATTCTGACTGGAATCTAATTGAAATCGGCAACTATCTGACCCAGAAATGGCTGTTTGTCATTATCTTGGATGTTTTTAAAAAGATTTGGTTCAGTTTCAATCAAGCTCTGAAGAAGCCAACAGGAGGATTGGCGAAACGTCAGCAATTTCGACTCAGCAAAAACCGACGCAGGAAGATTTGGTTCGTTTTCCGCTGATCATCCTGTTGGCTTTCTCAGAACTTAAATGAAATAAAACGTAACAAATACCTTCCGACAGCCACCGAATTGACCCGATTTAGCTCCCTGTGATTTCGTTCCGTTCAATCGAAAGGAAGTAATGGAGAAATCGCAGGAAGCAGCAGATGGCGATTACTTTGAAGGTGATAATATAGACTTAGCTAAATATTCCTCGTAATTTTTATCAAATATACTAGCCTAATGATACGTACGTAATCCAATTTGTTTCCCATGTATCTGACGAAGAAGCCTCGGCCGCAACCTTGACATTTGCGTGTTTCCATTTCCAAAAAGCGTATGGCCCGGGAGTGAAATTCCTTTTTCTGATTGTCCGTCAGTAAATTGTACGTCGTTTCTCTAAACGGCCTACTCAAGAACCTCAAATATCCACATGAAGCATATTTGGGCAAATCGAGGCAGTCGTCTGAAAAAAAAAAAAGAAAATACTGCATATGGTGCTACTTGGATTCTATTGGGCATATCCTCATCCAAAAACAGTCAGCTATGAATGAGAATGAGAAACGAAATATTTCGGGATCTTAAACATTTTTTAAGCAAAACTCCAGAATTTAAATTATTAAATCATAATGATCCTCTCTATCGATTTAAAATAGTTTCAGTGTATTTCTTAAATTGGCCATCCTGTATAGTGTCCCGTTTTCAGTTCCGCTGCCAATTCCTTTAATTCCGATATATTCAGTTTACACACACACCCTTAAATCTTAATCTTAATATTAAATAGACAGATTATTTATCTTTTTAGGAATTGATTCTTCGATAAACTTTATTTTTTATCACTACCCAAAGATCCTTGAATTGCGAATGGATTCCCCACTATTATTTGGCCTCCCCACGCCAACCATTGACTTGCAGATAATATCTGGATCATTATCTCCAATTTCGAGATGATACGACCTTATTGGTGTTGACTGTAGCCTCATCGGAAAACATTTCAATTCAGTGATCACTATAATTTAATTTTATTGACATTGATTTATTGACTGAAGAATAAACTCATAACAATTTTGCTACGTGACCAAATTTTCAGACAACACACGCACTACTACTACAGGTAAAAGATCGTTACCGTTCTTGACACTTAATATACTACTTTTAAACGGTTCGAACGGAACTAGAACCCAGTCGGGACCGAAAACAACAATTACCGTCGATTATCAGTCCCTTGCATTCGCATATCACTTGCGTTTCCTCGTTCGGATTTTTCAACCTCTCTTTGAATATAAGACCGCCCTCAATAAAATTGCCTCTCGCGCAGCTCAGCACCCGAATCTCAAATAACTTCTTCACGGCTGCAACAACAGTAGTTCGGTTGATGGTGGCAGACAGTGCTAAGGGATTGTCGAACTTCCGTTTATTAATAGAATTCCACCTCAGGTCACATTAGTGAGCATTAGTGATCCCAAATGAATCACCGTAGATGGAACAAATTGGTTCTTTTAAATGAAATTCAACACAGAAGATCGATAGAGCTTGTGTCAAAATTAGAGAAGGATTTCAGAGGAATTAGCAGGGAAAATTTCAAAGACAACAAAGAAGAGAAGAGATGAAAGAATCTTTTGAACACTGAACACTGAACTTCCTCTCAAAAGACACAATGGAAGGACCGAAAATGGAGCCAGTGATGATGGAGAGCTAGACCAAAGCGTAACAAGCCATCACCAAAGACTTACAAAAGGACGTGAACATCGAGATTATTTCAGAGGCCAAGGGCATGAAGTAATCATGGATGTGCTAATAGCAAAGTCGGGTTATCCTACTAGGACCATTGCAGGAAGGATCTATCAAGTATTACATAAATACAGGCGCAATATTCCTGATAAAATTAAATCGACCTCTTTATAAACCTTCAAAAATCCAAAAAGATAATGTATCAGCCAGCCCTATCATCAGTTCGAGGGATTCCAAAACCACCAGCTTAAGTAGCTTTGTCCTGCAAATCGTCCAGCCACTTGGGGAGAAACTCCTTCATTTGTAAACAATTCCGGGCACTTGGTAGGTGTTCTCAGAAATGTAAAATTCAGACAAGTTTGTTAGGTTTGATGTGGAAAGTCTGTACAGCAACGGGCCCTTGGAGGAATCATTAGACTTTTTCCAGGTCAGACTGAAGACAGAACTGCCCTAACGCTGCAGGCAATGGTGAAGATCCCTTAGGTGCTCTATTCATAATTATTGAATTTTTCTTTTCTATAAGTGGACTGTATCTCACATTGCGGCGACGTCGCGACCCATGCCGTGCACGTCTACCCCGTAACGCTACAAAAATGTTACTAGTCTAGCAGCAACGTAGACCTTGCTGGTTTGGCGTACAACGCCCTGTTGTCACATTGACTGAAATGTCCAGCATGTTTAAAATATACAAAATTAAAAAGAAATTTACATAATTTTGAACTCAACACTGACTTTCTAGCCAAAGATACGTTTTACGCAATAAATGATGGCCTACCTCTCTCATTAAATTTACCAATCGTTTCTAGATATCCTATTAAGACTTCATCAGCATGTAGAAAAACTGAACCAGATAGCCCCCATATCTCAGGAGCTTTGAAAAAACTATGTATAGGTAAATCGACCAAGAGAAAGAGTTAGAAATTATCTCCAAGTTCATAAAATGACCACTAGGTTGCCCAATTGACCTATATGAACATTAGTTTTAACGTAATCTATTGTAGATAAGGAAACTGTTTTGTTTGAACTATTTTTTTTCTATGTCGTCAAATTAAGGTTATGGGGAGGGTCAAATCTTTGTTTAGAATAAGTTCTTTTTAGCTTATTCGACGAACTTAGTTTAGTTTTAAAGAGTATTGGCAGGAGCTTCGACTGGCACATCAATATCACGATTTCAATTCTTTTATGGGTCGGCAGGAGGCGCTTCATGTCAAAAACAGCTATTTATATAATTTTCGATATACACACGACAGAATTTAAATTCCGAGTCTAACCGTTCTGATGCAACCAATTCAGAAATCATCCAAACACTCTGCAAAAGCAATAACCAAGCATCACTCGATGGAGAATTAAGCACTATCAAAAAGGATTTGTTTCATAATGGCTACACTCAAAAATGCATAGACAAAACATGATGGGTATAGAAAGTTCTCATGCATCTCTGTCTTTTGACGTTCCCATACGTCAAGGGAATATCAGCGAAGATCAGTCGAATAGCGAAACAATTCAAAGTTAAGACCGTATTCAAGTCCTTTAGAAATGAAGGCCATAGGAAACACACCATTATTGGTAAAATTCAAAAAATCGTGGAATTTGTATGGACCAAATAATACAACATCAAATGTTCCGAAGTTCGGGTAGTCAGGAGGAATCTGGAAGTTTTGTAGAAAGTATTATAGTAGTCTGTGGAAGTTTCTTTGAAAAATTAACCCCACGCTTCACTACAATCCACTCCGTCACGTGTGCGGACGCTGTAGTCCAGTAACGTAGAGTGATACATCTGCCCGAAACCTTGCGCACACAAAAACTTAAGATAGTGTATGTTCGACAATCTCTTGGTACTTCAACAGTCGTTTGACGCGGTTACGCGCCATCTGGCGGCGGTGTAACGTACCCAGGGCCGTCGGACGCGTCGACGACGACGTCACGATAAACGTCAGCATCGCTCTGGGGAAAATGTCGCCGAGTACGGAGCTGCACTTGACCAGCAGTTGTTCGTAAAACGTCAGCGCGTCGAATGTTTTCAAAATGAGAACGTCCATCGCCAGCTCGGGATCGACCTCTTGCAAGTTGAATATCGGGTTCAGCACGCTCACCTTTATCGAGCTGTCCAATTCGAATTTGTCCTTTAAACTTTGGGCAACCGACAAATCCGGGAAACTCGCCTAATTAGGTCAATAATAGTAATAATATGGTGACCGGATCAAAAATAGCATCTTTCCCTTGTCGTAAGAGGATACTAATCGAAGCAGCCATATAGCTATAAGTTAATATAGTGGCCCTACTACGGTAAAAAGTGATGCGCCGCAGTTGGCTATGACATTTTCGTTGAGAAGGTTGTGTGAAAAGCATTGTTACATTGTTGAATTACAGCATACGGATCGGCGTCCTTAACATGATTCTGTAAGTAGTGTGGCGTGGTTCCTTAAGGCCTATAGACACTATACCAGCTATTTTTTCCCAAATTTGTGCCCATAAATCGGCGCAAACGGCGCGTTTTTATAAACTTACTGGTTTAACCTCCATTGAAAATGTAAATAAAGTGGAATTCACGAAATGTGACTCTTAAAGTGTAAATATAACTTTGAGGTAAAGTCTGTTCAAATATACGAATTAAGGAAAGACCCGGGCAAGCTGTAAGAATGAAATATATCCGAACAGGTCCGTACTTTTCTTAGAATTTAATTATTTGGGGTTTTGTTAGGAAAGATACTAAACGATATTTATTAATTTATGTATGTATTTATGTTTAAATCTAAAATAAAATTACAAATTATTTGCATTACCTACTTAAATTACTTAAAATTATTCACATAATACATCAGTATCACTATCGCTACCATCGCCTGTTCTAATTATTATTTGTTCTATATTATTTGCAATATGGATATATGCTTTTTCTATATGTTAAAAACTTCGGTTTCTATAAGTTTGAGGACGTTGGAGTTAACACGAGGAACAACATTGTTACGACGAATGGCAGATTTCAGTTGGTGCCAAACAAGTTCAATGGGATTAAATATACGGTGGTAAGGTGGAAGCCTTAAAATTGGATGCCCTAGATTTTTTGTATAATTATACCTTTTGTAATTTCAAGCTTAGTAGAACCTCAATTAATTGCTTTTTGGTATAGTCTTCGTGAAAATAAATTTCGTTATTATACATGTAGTTTTGGATTGTTGCTTTTATGTTACCTGAGGAAAGGTTTTTAGTCAACTGTCTACTGCGATAATTTGCATTGTCCATTACAATGAGGCTATTAGGAGGCATGTTTGGAACTAGTTTATTTTTAAACCAACTTTCAAATAAATCAGCGGTGGTATCTTCATGGTAATCCAGAGAAGAATCTTTAATATTTTTCGCAGACAGAGAAAGTCCATTTGGAATCAACCATCTTTAGAGTCAGCATGCAAAATAGTTGTTCTTTTACCTCTTTTACACTTATCAGTTGAGTCAACCCAACACTTTTCCGAAGTATGATAAGTGTTGAACCAGGTTTCATCGAAGTAAATAATTATATCTTTTTTTTCTTAGATATTCCAGTCGCCATTTCCGAATTCTAAAAGATTCCATTAAAACTTGCCTTTTGTCAATTTTTTTCAACCTAAAACCCATGTATTGAATACACTTCCATAAGGTAGTTCTGCCACATTTAACACCGGTTTCATCTTTTTCAAGCCTCCTAATTAAGATAACTAATGTAGGCACGCTTTCTTCCTCGTATAACTTGTAAATTTTACGCCGTATTATATCTTGATCACTTTCATCTACACTCGAGAAAATGTCAGCATCGCTTCTTTGTTTCCTCGCTGAAATGGGATTATTCACAATTTTCCATACAGTTGATGTTGGAATTTTCGTTTCTTCTAAAGATGCTTACTTGCTGGCACCACGTTCAATGAGAGTCAAATAAACATAGTTTATAATTCCTGAGATACACTAGACTCGTACATATTTTGCATAATTCGGACACGATTCAACACACGCTGTATTACATACGAAATATAAATGATTACTAATAAACTTAAACTAAATAGTATACCTAACCAAAGAATATTAAACAATTAATATTATTTTCTATTACGGAGCACAATTTTACCTGAATTTAAATTCGAAACTTTAGGTAATAATCTTGTTGCATTGTATGTTAATGACCACCCTTGGATAATCCCATTCAAAAGCAATTGGTCACTTTCTTATATCTATGAACAGACCATACCTAAAATACGATTCCTTATCGCCGCACTTTTCAATGAACTTAACGAACTGAAAGCAGGTTTTGTTATGAAGAGTATAAAAATAGATCACCTATTATATGTGGACGATCTGAAGGCCATTGGGAAAAACGATGCAGAGCTAGAGGATCAACTCATGGTCAAGAAATTTAGCTACAACATTCGCATGGAATTTGGTATAGAGAAGTTTGCTAAAGCGGTATTCAAAAAGGGAAAATTACAAACTAAAGATAACAACTGATTGAGTAAGTTTAATTTTCGTCAGCTAGAGGAGACAATGAACCGGCAAAATATAAAGAACCAACTGACTAAGGAATACCGAAAACGTATAGCAGAATTGAGCAGCAAAAATAAAATCAGTGCCATAGGACAGTTCGCCTTACCCGTTCTTCAATTTAGTTTTGGAATCATTAACTTTAGATTAAAAGAAATACGAACTCTAGATAGAGGAACCAGAAAACTTCTTCATATGTGCGTAATGCAACACCCAAGAGCCGACATACACACATTATATGTATCGAGGAAGTAAGGGGGCCGAGGTCTGTTGCAAATAGAAGCGGCTTTCAAGTCGGCTATACTCAACTTAGAAGAATATCTAATCAGAATAACAACAGACAAATATGTAAATCTACTCAGAGCATATGACGAAGAACTGCCTAAGACAAAATCGATAACTAAACTAGGATGTTACGTAAGAAAAACAGAAAAGAAAAACGAAATAGAAAGTATCGAGTGAACTGAAAACAGAGTGGAGGAATAAACAAATGCATGGACACTATGCACGACAAAATGAAGGCCAAGAAATAAATCCCAGATACACCTATGGATGGCTAGCGAATGGAAATCTTAAGGGTCAGACAGAAAGCCTAATAGTCGCGGCACAAGATCAAGCCATTAATACTCGATATTACTCAAAAAGTATCCTAAAGAACGCTATAGACTTAGAATGCAAAAGAAAGCTATACGCACAATTCACGGATCAACACCTCTGGCACATTGTCGCCCTATCTTCGAGAGGCTAAAAATCGTGACACTTCCTAGTCTGTGCATTTACCGTGCACTGACCCAGGTCCATGAAAATATACATGCTTTTGAAAGACATTCGACAGACATGCACAAAACACCAGGCAGGTAGACCTCATCATACCATACTATTCCAGACTGATGACCTCGGCAAGGAATAGATCGATTATGCAATAACTACGATTAAACAGTGAATCATATCCTCTCTAGCTGTCCTATACTAGCAAAAAATGAGTACATAAAGAGACATGATAATATGGCTAAACTGTTGCACTTCAAAATATGCCAAAATTTTGATATTAACACCACCAGAAATCAAGCAAGGAAGATGTTACAATACTTTGGAATCAACAAATTCAAACAGATAAGCGAATAACAGCAAACAAACCGCGTATTGTTATTAAAAATAACTTATGAACGATAGTTGACGTTGCAATTCCAGCCGATAACAATGCTGTGGAGAAAGAAGCGAAAAAATTACTTAAATACAGGGACCGAGCCATCGAAATAGATAGAATGTGGAATATTAAGACCCAAATTGTCCCCATCATGATTGGCGCAACTATAACACTCTCAAAGAATTTTGAAAGATTCCTTCACACAATTGACGGAAAACAACATCATACAGCTCCAGTCTACGGCAATAATAGGGAGTACCTTTTAAGAACAGTTCTAGGGAAACCCAAAGAACACGGTTAATTGGATAATAATAATAATAATAAACTGTCTTTCATTCGTCACATTCGCAAATTGCGCTCTTCCATGTAACCACAAGAACAACAGCACCAACACCATAATTGTCAACAAAATACACATCGTAAACAGAAGAAATAGACGCTCATCATAAACTCATACGCTTTTGCTAGTTACGGGCGGGTCTAATAAACAATATTCACGCTTTTTTGAAGGACTTTATTGTAGGGAGGGGCGTTTAACGGCATTATAGCTTAAATATCTCTGGATATGATTGCTAAACGTTTACCAATGGCCAAAGACAAATTTAAAATTTGCTTACGCGACAGCTATCCACGTACATCTTCCATCTGGCCGCGTCTGTGCCCCTCTCCGTGCCAGCTTCCTCCATGATTTCGATCCAGAGGTCTTTCTCTTCGTCGCTAAGCCTAACGCGCCCCCCATAGTACCGAAATATTTAATATAATCCGTTGCACCGTTACCTAATCATCATATACAACGGTGCGAGCACCAGTCCGCTCTCGTACGCCATTTTTCTGGTTATCGTTCTGATGAAAAGGCCAGCGGATTGGAGCAAAGTGATCAGAAAGCTCTCGATCCAGCCGGGGTTTCCATTGCTTCGAGATTGTATCACTCTAAAAGCGAATTGCGGAAGTAAATAATAGTATGCTGTATATATGGTATAGGTATAACAGAATTTTGATAGAATAGTTTTTGTATCAAACCCGCCAAAGCCTGACTCAATCTAGATCAGAAAATGATGAGTGGAAGAATGATAATATCTTTCCAGGATCATAAAAATTCGTCCGAATGGCGGAAGAAACAGAAAAGGCGTCTTTGAACTTAAAACGGACAGTCAATCTAGAGGAAATAAAACTTTGAGCAAAAATCACCTGGTCCTCCAGGTTGTCACTTGTGAAAAACTTATATTACCAGAAAGTTAAACATTTGCTCCGAAAATTCGGATAGACTACGAATAGGAATACTTTATTGATGTTACTATCGCAGACGATTTACATACGTCAAACAAAAGGGAATAAAATAACATACACCTGGTACATTATAATTGAAATATAAATATTCATCAATAGAATAAAAATGCTGATTAATTAAAAATCGTCTGACTGTTTGTTTATACATTTGAAATGGCCAATTACGAACGGCATTTGAAAGCGTCTTAAAAAACTTAACGGACCAATAATTTGGGCCAGTTTGACACCTCTCTAAGCGGCAGTAGGTAATAACCACATTGTCCCGACCTCTGGTTTGATGGTCATGCACCACTTATAAGGGGTAAATAGATGCGGATTTTTTTTTGTGTAAGAGAATACTACTATGCAATTTCAATAAGTTGCTTTTCTTTAAATAAATATAAAGACATTCAGACGAGTTAGTTTTTGTTATGGCGACTGGATCATTTAAGCTGTGAGTAGTTGTATATACATTTTATTATTTGGACGGCTATTCAAGAGCACAGTTAAGAACGAATATTGAAGCAACAGGTTAAAAGGTTATTCTAGTAATAACATATTATGGAACAAATTTGATAAAAGTCAATTTAGTCAGAACTGATTTTGCTTTAGTTGTGGTGAGTTTTTAATTGGTTGTAGTTATGTTTGGTTAGAGTCAAGCTCTACATCTTCGAAGGATAGAGCAAATTAGATAGACCACGCTCAAGGTGCACCAGGTGTCAGAGCAAAGATGGCTGATGCAGTCTTTGATACTCATGAAGAATGCCGTCAGGTGATACCAGGGTTTATCAAACTCGTTGCGTAATATACTTTATATTATAATTTCATAACAACTTTTATAAAATACTCGTATTTTCTCACTTTTCTAGTTCCGGAGGGATCGCCTCAACGTCCAACATTTGACACGCCAAGCCCACGTGGAACCACTTATCGATAGGCTTCAACTTGATTATTTTAATCCTAGACATATTCATAGTGTCTTTTGCCACCTGTCCCAGATGGCTTCTCTTGCCCATTGCGGCGACGATAAAGACCAATTTAGTATTGATCATTATACGGAGGAGCGACCAAGAATCGCTGTCGATGTTCTCGGCGTTATCGATCACTATCAGCCAGAAGCAAGTGAAGCACTACAAATAATAAATTGTTGTTCGGACTTTTCTATTTTTTTGAATTGCTGACATGGTGAAAATCAGGGATATTACTTGACTGATACTGTTAAATTAGAACAAAAAAATGTTCAGATTTTCGCAGCTGTTTTGGCAACACTTCTTTGGTGGTATAGATATGTAGATGATGTTTTTGCATGTTTCACTGGAACCGACAACTGCAGTCCTTTTTGAATATTATCTCCATACATAAACTCTCTAAACCTTCTATACTTAACTGTAAGGAACAAATTCGATTTTCCCATTTACCTTTAACCCTCACACACGAATAATACCCAATAATGCATAATAACTCAAATCGCCCTTACACACACAATGCTTTTATACACCATTAATAATTTATACACCATTTTCCACAGAAAATTTTGAAAAAGAATTTAAATGTTATTAAACAAATAGCTCTGCATCAAACTCATCATCATCATCGAAATGACATAACACGTAACGATGATCTAGAACAATGCTGGAAAAAAATAACAAACAACATAATAACAGCTTCAAGAGAGGCACTTGGAACAAGAAAGATAAATGTAAATAACAAAAAAGTCAATAAAAAGAGTCAGAAAAGAGTGTGGAAACTATTACGATCAACTAAATGAATACATAAAGAATGACTCAATAAAAATGGAAGAATGCACAAAATACTTTTCTATAGAAAAAATTTCAATAATATAATTAAAGACGAAAAAATACCTCTAGAGTGGAATAAAAGTTTGACTTCATTAATATTTAAAAAAGGAGACAACAAACATCAAACTGTAGGGGAATATCATTAAATATCGAAAATGTTCACCAAAATCATAGCAGAAGAATTAAGAGAGACAATTTGGATATGCGCAGAACAACAAGGTCTTAGAAAGAACAGAGCAACAACAGATGCCATCTTTATAATATAATCAACAATATAAATATAAACAATCCTATCTTCATGTGTTTCGTGGACCTAACAAGCGCGTTTGATAAAATACGACTTAATGACATAGTATACTTACTTAAAGAAAAAAATGTATCTCCTAAAATAATAAGAATCATAGAAGAACTTAATTACAACTGCTCCACTAAAATAAAAGCTGAGGGAAAGGTATCTGAAGAAATAAAGGTAAACACAGGAATAAGACAAAGAGACAGCTTAAGTCCGTATCTATTTCACCTGATTATGGACAAAATGATAGCAAAAGTAAAAAGACTAACCGGATACAAAATAGGAAACACGATTCATTCATATTCATATCACGATTCTATGTTAGGCGGAAGATGCGGTACTGATATCTAATAGCGAAGACAGCCTACAAAGAATGTTACGCATATTTGGTAAAATCGCTAAAAGATTATAATATGGCAATATCAACAGAGAAAATTGAATGTCTAACAGTATCTAAAGAATCAACAAGATGTAAGCTGGAGATAGAAGAGACAATCACAAAGCAAGTAATGTCACCAAGAGACGATATACCAAGTCAGGAAACATGGTAATATTCAAAGATCACAAGAGATGGAAAACCCGAGGGGAAAAGATCCAGAGGAAGACCACAAAAAAGATGGCAAGAAGGCCGGTCATCAGAATCACAAATAAGATTAAATATTACCCAGTAAACACAAGTAACTTGACTTAACGTAGAAATGAGAAGAGGAAGAAGAAACAAATATCTATTAACAATGGTTACGACCTCTCTTTGATAGACAAGATTATAACTAAAAAGCAGTATAAATAACTCTGAACTCTGTCTAACCCATATTAAACACCGAACCCAAAATTTACAAAACAATATAGGAGAACTAAGCAAGAACATTTCGAATCGTTCATCTAAATTTGGTCTTAATATTGCTTTCAAAACTGAAAAGATATTAAACCTTAAAAGACATTAAACATCAAAAGAAAAAAGTTCGGATTTTAAGTATGCCATTAATTTAAATTTAGATATGCAACAACGATAATTTTGATATTTTACATAACCAGTGGAAAAGCAAAAATCTAAGTTTGTTGGAAGCTATGGCGATTAATAAAATGAGAATTCGAATCTATTACTGAATCCGTTGTTAAATTTAAATTTATAACCCTATACTCGTAATTAAAATTCTATTACTACCTATTCATACATGTAGGTGTCGGAATATTGTCATATTTTGTATTTGAAAAAGGCACGGTGTTGCCAAAACAGCTGTCGCAAATCATTAAATAACTGTGAAAATGGATTTGGTAAAAATTGGTCTACAGAATGCAACGGCTTTTTTTTGTCATGTTGATATCTAACCTTGCCCCATAGCGCTATTCAACAAGACACCGTGCGACAGCCATAAGTAGGCTACTGTAAATTATTTTCAGAATACAAGAAAGGTGGTCCCTCAGATTTAATCAACTATCGTTCAATTTCCCTTTTATCTCTCAACTATACAAGACTGTTACAAAGATCAAAACTAACCAATGCATACAACCTAGCACTTTATCTGACCTTCCTAGATTATGAAAAGGCCTTCGACCCTTCAGTAGAATTGAGTCCACTTACGTAATGCTAAGCTACAATATCTCCCATGGGAGTAATACTGAATAAATATCTCACCACAGAAAGTATACCGAAGAGTAAGGCAAGTTCTTCCAAATTATTTACTCGTGAGTTAGATCACATCATTAAATCCCTAAATCCTTAAATCACCTCGAGTGTGCTGTTAATAGCTCCAAAACATGAAGACCTCCAAAAAATGTCTTCAGACATTTTCAAGAAACTCCCTTATTTCTTGAAGAATCAGAGAATTCGTTTACATTTAAGAACAAGCGTATTTAAATCCTGCATCCTGCAAATCATAGGAATTTCCCTCAAAGGTCATAAAACCAGTGAATGAAGAAATCGAATCAGAGCAAGACTTTAATGAAGATGGTCAGAAACAGGAACACCTTGTGGTTAATAGAAACCAGGAAACATTGAGAGATTCCCATATTCTGAGATGGTCTAAGTAAAGAAATGATGATGAAGAAATCAAAGGTCGGGTCCAGTCTGCAAATCGTTGGCTATTTTTACTCAGTAGCTTTATCAAAGTCGAAAAATCTAACGAGGACTTCAAAAATCAAAGAGTATATAACTATGGTCAAACCTGTAACAACATATAAAAGAGAAATATTCACAGAGCAAATAAAAATAAACTAAAACGCTTCGAACTGAAAATCAGAAAGATTTTTGAACACTACCAAATCATTTACAAATCTTCTGGATCGAACTTGTTAACGTTTAACTAACCGATCATCATGCTGGCTTCTTCACTGCTTAACTGAAACTGGCTAGCATAAGGTATAACCCTGCTGAAATATTGATGAAAGGGAAAGACCCGATTCCCGGTTAAAATTGTTTGCTTGCATATAGATTTCTATAGATTCTCGGATTTTTCGTTGGTAGAAGAATTGATTACATGCAAGAATGTTTCTCAAATGCATTCTTCTGTGTTTGACGGATTGAAGATATTGACAGTTTTTTGTACGACTGATAAATTTGGTTTGAACGTTATATTTCTTAAGAACCTTTGTTATGTGATCACTGTGGCAAGTGTAGGGTTGCTTTCGGGCTCATTTTCTTTTGGTGAAGTGTATTTTGTGATAATGATATGATGATAATAATGATAATGTGAGTGAAATTTATTATAGGGAGAGGAGCAGAGGTAAGATACTTTTTACAAAGCTTCTGGATTCCTCCTGCGTCGGTTTTTGCTGAGTCGAATTTGCTGACGTTTCGCCAATCATCCTGTTGGCTTCTTCAGAGCTTGACTGACAGAAGCTTTGTGAAAAGTATTGCAGTAGCCTGCGGAAGTTTCATTGAAAAATTAACAGATGTAAGATTTTTTAATTGTCGCTTCGGTTACTGGTAACCGATAATTTTTGGGCCAGATGGAAATGTGACAATACATTAAGGGGTTAGTTCTGATTAACCCATTTTGTCCCAGTGGTGCGTTAATGCACCACCTATTCTATGATTTTTTTTTGTCACATCCAGGAAATATTTTTGCACATCCATTTAGAAATTTTATGATTATCACTACTAAAGGATATAAAACCGTAAAAATCGCAAATTTATGTGTAAAGGAAATATCTTATATATGACTTAAGTTAACAAAAGCGGTACATAAATTTTCAAGTAAATCCAAAATAGTAAAAAAAAAATATTTTGGATTTGTTACAGAGAACACACATTGGAAATACTATATTGATTATGCTTTATTTTTTGAAAATATTTACTGGTGCGTGAATGCACCGCTGGTTTTATCTGTGAAACAAAACTTTGTTATTACAAGTCTAGACAAGTCAGCGCATGTAGAATAAACATCCAACAATTAGCGTGTTCTTTAGTATTAGTTTTTGCAGAGTGCAGTGAACGTTGCAGTTCGTAAAATATGGCATTTCCGAGGTATTTGACTCAAAACGAATTAGAGACGGCTATGGAGGAGATCGTGATGGATGAGGACAATAACAATGAAAGTCGTAAGTATTATTTGGATTTACGTATTGTAGTGTGCCATTCTTTGTAAATTTATGGTAAAAATAACTTTAAAAAAACATTTACAGAACATATTACGCGGTCTATATTCCAAACGACTGGCTTGCTTCTGCTGTCAAAAGGTACACTCACACACCTATATCCGATGAATTTAGATCATTTGAGGAATTAAAAAATAGGCTTTCTGGAAAAACTCCGCTTGAAATATTTTTTGTGTTTTTTGATGACGAAGTGATTGATTTGATTTTAAATCTTACATTACTTTGCGACTTTTCAAAACCAATAAAACAATTACTCAAAGAAATTTTGCACCTACCATAGATGAAGGGCGTTATGATAATCAAGGTCACTCCATGATTGTTCAGGCTAATAAAGCCCGAAGGAGATGTAGAATCTGACACAGCCGCACAATTTACGTTTGCAATAAGTGTAATGTACATTTACATACTTCATGCTTTGTAAAATATCACCAAAAATGAAACCGGGTGTTACCAGTGGTACGCTCACGCACCATAAAATATTACGCGTTTTTTTGTATCAAATCAGGTTCTATTTGGAAAACAATCTACTTTTAGTTGTTTTCTGTCGAATTTGAACTTTCTTTTGTATATTTTTGTATAAATTATATGTTACATCTTGTATGCCTCAAAAAAAAGTGGTTCGTTTACGCACCAGTATTTTTTTGTATGTTTCGAGTGTTTATATTTTTTGACACATGTAATGTATACTTAAGTGCAACAAAATAAATAAATTCAGAGCAAAAAAGAATTTTTTTTTTAAGTTTTTTTTATGCTTGGGATCATATGGATTAATAATTAATGTAACCGAATTCACTCGAATCCATAATGGAAACATGTCTATAATCGACAATATTTTCACCAATATTAACTTGACTTTCTTTCAGTCAGAAATTATTTCCTGTGAATTTTCTGACCATTTTATGCAAATGCTATCTATAACTTTTTTCAACTGTCCCACACCTTTTTTCTGCAAACGTTGTTTTAAAAGTGAATGTAACATAAATGAATCTAGGGTGCACAGTTTTGTTTGACGGTGTTTGTACAGCTGAAAAAAAATTTGACTTATTCTATCAATAATTTCAGGAATTGTTTGACTCGTCTTTTCCATATCAAAGATGCATACACAGGGCCAACAGAGCCAAAAAAGGGTGGCTTTCCGTTGAAGTTAGGGAACAGAGTGGGTTACTTAGAGACTTGCACAAATATACCAACAGTAATGAAATTTTAACCGAATTTTAACCGAATAGAATTATAAAAAAGTACCATTAAAAACAACTTAAGAAGGCTAAAAAAGGTTTTTGCAATAAACTTCTTACAACCTCTGTTAACAAATCTCAAACGGCGTGGAAGTTATAAAAATTGAAAGTAACCTCTCTAAACACAAAAAGTTTCCAGATTACTTCATTGATGATGAAGGTAGCGAGTATGTCGATTTACACGCGACTTCTGAAAAATTTTACGACTTTTTTGTAGATTCCGTTAGAGAAATAATAAATAATATAAAAACAACACAAACAACTAATAAAAAATCTTCAAGTTGAAGTCTATTCTTAACACCTGTCACGGGTATTAACCTTCGATGCATTAATTCGTCAGTTACAAATACCCTGTTCATTAATGAAACGTGTCACAGATTTTATAGTTGAACTTCTTTGATTAATCTGTCTTTTTTAGAAGATGTATTTCCCTCAGCCCTAAAACACTCCATTGTTGTGCGTATACACACGATGAACAATACTCATTTCATTTCTAATTACCGTGGAATATCACTTCTATCGGGTTTTTCCAAAATATTCTAAAGAAGGAGCAATTTTTCTCAAATTCTCGGTTTGGTTGTCGCAATGGATTATCTATTCAAGACTGTTTAGTTTCCTTATATAATCGTCTCGAACCTGGATCAGAATAATAAAACATTATGTATTGTTTGACTTCTTGCTTGATTTGAGTGCTTGATATTAATTTGTTGTTGAATTAGTTAAATAATTGCGGTATATAGGGGAATAACTATCCCTGGATTGAGTCGTTTTTGAAGGGTCGTGACCAAACAGTTTTGCTTAGAAGTGTGATCTAAAGAACTCACCAGCGGTGTTCAACAGGGAAGTATACTGGGACCTTTATTATTTATAATATTTATTAATGATATATCTGATTTTTTCCCAGACAATTATGTTTCCTTATATGCAGAGGATACTGCTGCGGCAGTGGCAGACTGGAAGATCTCGTTCTTGGCCACTAGGGCAGTAAGTGGTATGACCCGATATTGTGAGCGTAACGGTATTTGTTTGAACGGGACAAAGACTGGGATAATGTTTTGCTTATTGGTAATAGAATGGAGGATTAATCAGTTAATCAGACGAACGTTGTCAAGTATTTGGGTTTGTTCATATACACTAATTTGTCCAGGACAGATACGCTATTATAGGCTGGGGAAGCTCTTCCAGAGCTAGTGAAGTGAACCCTGTTCCCAAAATTAAATATTTTAACGTTTCCCTCTCTTTTTGTAATGAATAGCATAATTTACATAAAGAGTAATCCATCTAATTATTGTATGACCAGAATTGATGGAGATTACAATTTTAGAGCAAATCCTAATTTGCACGTGCCAAGTCATAAGTCAGCCAAAGTAGCTAACAACCCTATGATTTTACCAATAAAACTATATAAGTTGGCTTTGTCCGTCAGACAGATATTGCCTGTCCATTTATCTAGTTATGCTGATCTCTCGGTGTGATATACTTTGTATGTGTGTACTTTTTAAAGTTTGTATTTTAGTGTTCTAATGTATTGGGTTGTTCGGAAAGTCATTTCGTTTTTTTTGGGGAACATGAAAGACAGTTTTCGTATAATGAATAAATATTTTATTAAATTATATATTGGCCGTTCTGGTCCAACACCTTTTGCCATCTTTCTGGCAGTAACATAATTCCCCTCTCATAAAAGTTTTGGTCCTTGCTAGCAAAAAACTGCTTCAAGTGGTTTTTGACATCTTCATTTGAGGTAAAGGTTTTGCCATCCAAAAAATTTTGCAGAGACCGGAACAAATAGTAGTCGGAAGGCGCCAGATCTGGAGAATATGGTGGATGTTGCAGTACGTCCCATTCAAGCTGTAAAAGTTTTTGGCGAGAGACCAAACTTGTGTGAGGTCTCACATTATCCTGGTGGAACACTACACCCTTCCTTTTGATTAATTCGGGCCTCTTCTCTTTAAGTGAATCATTCAATTTGTCCAGTTGATGACAATAGACTTCTGAATTAATCGTTGTATTGTCCGGCAAAAGCTAAAAAAAAACGATTCCTTTGACATCCCACCAAACGGAGAGCATCACCTTTTTTTGGTGAATGTTGGCTTTTGACACGCTTTGAGCCGGTTCATCTTTTCTGCTCCATGACCTCTTACGTTTAACATTGTTGTATACAACCCATTTTTCGTCCCCAGTAATAATCCGCTTCAAAAATGGATCATTTTCTTGACGTTTGAGGAGCGAATCACACACGTCAACGCGACGACACAAATTTCGCTCCGTAAGGACATGGGGCACCCACACATCGAGCTTCGAGGTTAAGCCCATGCCTTTCAAATGGCCATAAACAGTCGAATTCGACAAATTTAATCTCTCACCGATCTCTCGTGTGGTTATTCGCCGATGTGCATCAACTAATGCCTTTATCGCATCTTTGTCAGCTTCGACCGGCCTTCCAGACCGTGGTGCATCTTCGACATCAAAATTGCAGGATCGAAATTTTGCAAACCAGTTCTGGCACTGGCGTACTGTTAACACGCCTTCTCCATACACATCCGTCAATTTTTTTCTCGCTTGGACAGCATTTTTACCTTTTCTGAAGTAAAAAAGTAAAATATGACGAAAATGCTGCTTATTGCTCTCCATATTTAAAAGGGCACCAACCAAAAACTACTGCGTAGAATTAATAGAACTTTTTCACACACAAGCCTTGCAATATCAGCTCTCAAGACATATAATGGTTATGCGGCTTAAGTGTGAAGTTGGTTTCGAAAAAACGTAATTAAGTCCTCTGACGGGAAAAAACGAAATGACTTTCCGAACAACCTTATATTTTTTTTTTACTTGTTGACATTATCCAATGCTTTTGTTAAAAGTCAATGGAAATAAATATTATTATTATTATTACTATTATTATCTGAGAATGAGAAGTTATTATTAGTTTCTAATTCAGTGGTAAACGTCTGTTAGGGTATATAGAGTTTAAATGGATAAGAAAATCTCGAAGTTGTTCTCGACCATGTGTCAAAAGTGTCATAAACGTAAAGTTTTCATAATTTTATTTTTAGATGGAAAGTATCGAGGGCTTTCTTCTTTCTTCCGTAGCTGTTCCTGACCGTTACAAGAAAAATATGTTCCAGCCAAGTGTTTTTCAATTAAGACGAGGTTTGCTCCCCGATTCTTGGATTTTAATATATCTGAAATAATATTGAGAGTTCAGGAATAGGGAGTTTAGTAAAGAATATCTTGTGGATCTAATATCATGATCTTTCCCTGTTAAGGGTTTTAATATAGAAGCTAGGTACTTTGCTAGAGACAATGTATGTATGAAAATGCCGACTGGAACATCGAAATGATAATCCTGGATAGATTCAGGTTTGGGAATATAGGATTTAGGAGTTTTGCATTTTTCCACTTTTCCATAGGTTTGGGGATAATATTATGGTCTCTACGACGCAAGAAAAAAGTGTGCAGAGTAATCCAGAAGATTTGTAATAGAAAAGAAGGCAGCCAATACCCACCCAGGGTTGCAGCGCCAAATGTTGTTTGCAAACGCTGAAGGGCAGGGGTACAAGCTCTGGTAGACCGCAGTTCACAGATAGAGCGTCAGTCGACAAACCTTCACGCTTAAAGATATCTTCCATTAACTTACCGCGTAGCAAAAAAATCGGAAAACTTTTTGCGTCATGCTAGAACGGGTAGCCTTATCCATGGCGTCATATTTCGTCAACGATTTAAAAGTTACGTCGAATATCTTATTTAGAAAGCAGCACTCTTCGATAGAGCCAGTCGTTCTTTTAAACCTTCTATGTATCTTCGTCTGCCTTTCCGACTGCCTGGATCGTTCCGTTAATCCTAGCAGCGGGTAGAACACCAGTCGGATCGTAGTATACGGGATCTAGTACAGAAAACGGAAACTCTCATCCCCACATAAAGTTAAACCTCCAAAACCTCCAGGATTTGGAATTAGCAAATGTAAGCATGTGCATTAATACCTGCTAAATTTTAATTGCAAACACTTTTTATCTTTTCTTAATTTCACTGCTATGCTACATGGAAGTTCTTGCACTAGTTGCAGTTAGATATGTTTGCCGCTTAGAATATCGTTGTGCTACTGTAGCAAAGAGAACGTTTCAAAGTAAAATTTTGCTGGCACCAAAAAGAAAACACTCTGAACAGAACTTTTTGCCAATTCAAATATTATTAAGTTGCTGCAGGTCTTTAGTTTTAATTAGTTGCCAAAAGTAGAACAAAGCAATTGCAAACGTAGAGAATGTGGTTGCTATCAAGGCAGGCTTGACCATTTTTGAACAATATGGCTATTGTCCAGAAATCGAATGATTATTATTTTAAAACTAAAAATATCTAAAAACAATATGTTTTTAAAATCAGAAAAAAAAGATCTAGCTGATAATACATAGGGCAAGACCTTCCAAAATTAACCCTGCATGTGGGCGTCAAAATATAACGAATAACCTTGTAAAGTCTGTTCATAGACATAAGAAAGTGACTAACTGATACGAATTCATAATTATAATTTAATTATTTGGGGTTTTGTTAGGAAAGATACTAAACAATATTTATTTATTTATGTATCTATTTATGTTTAAATCTACAATAAAATTACAAATTATTTTTATTACCTACTTAAATTACTTAAAATTATTCACATAATAGATCAATATCACTATCGCTACCGTCGCCTGTTCTAATTATTATTTGTTCTATATTATTTGCAATATGGATATATGCTTTTTTTATATGTTAAAAACTTCGGTTTCTATAAGTTTGAGGACGTTGGAGTTAACACGAGGAACAACATTGTTACGACGAATGGCAGATTTCAGTTGGTGCCAAACATGTTCAATGGGATTAAATATACAATTATTAAAACTGTGTGCCCTAAATTTTTTGCATAATTATCACAGACGTATTCCTTTTTGAGGTTCAAGCTTTGTAGAACCTCAATTAATTGCTTTTGTGTCACATGAGGAGGGGGTTTTAGTCAACTGTTTTCTGTGATAACTTGCATTGTCCATGACAATTGCGCTATTAGGAAGAATGTTTGGAACTAGTTTGTTTATAAACCAACTTTCAAATAAATCAGCGGTGGTGTTTTCATGGTAATCCAAAGAAGAATCTTTAATATTTTTCGCAGACAGAGAAAGTCCATTTGGAATCCAACCATCTTTAGAGCCAGCATGCAAAATAGTTATATTTTACCTCTTTTTGATGGCACTTTTGTTTTACACTTTATACTTATCAGTTGAGTCAATCCAACCCTTTCCGGGGTATCATAAGTGTCGAACCAGGTCATCCAAGTAAATAATTGGCCTTTGTTGTTCTCTGTAAATCCTAATTTTTTCTAAATATTCCAGTCGCCATTTCCGAATTCTAAAAGATTTCATTAAAACTTGCCTTTTGTCAAGTTTTTCAAATCTAAAACCCATGTGTTGAATACACTTCCATAAGGTAGTTCTGCCACATTTAACACCGGTTTCATTTTTTTCAAGTCTCCTAATTAATATATCTAATGCAGACACGCTTTGTTCCTCGTATAACTCGTAGATTTTAGGCCGTATTAATCTTGATTTCCTTTCATCTACACTCGAGAAAATGTCAGCATCGCTACTTTTTTTCCTCGCTGAAATGGGGTTATTCACAATTTTCCATACAATTGATTTTGGAATTTTCGTCAATGTGGCCGTTTCTTCTAAATATGCTTGCTGGCCCCACGTTCAATGATAGTCAAAAAAACATTGTTTATAACTTCCTTAGTCTCAATAGAATAGTGTTTTCTATATTTGGAAGGGATCATCTCCTGAGATACACTAGACTCGGACATATTTTGCATAATTCGCACACGATTCAACACACGCTGTATTACAAACGAAATAAGAATTATTACTAATGAAATTAAACAAAGTAGTATACCAAACCAAAGAATATTAAACAGAGGTAGGTATAAAATTATTTTCTATTTCGAGCCACAATTTTACCTGAATTTAAATTCCGAAACTTTAGTTAATAATCTTGTTGCATCGTATGTACCCTTGGATAATCCCATTCAAAAGCAATTGAACACACCATACCTCCGAATCACTTTTCGTCAGTGTGAACCTATTGACGGGTATCGATCTGTCCGTGCAATAAGTCATCTCCTCCAAAAGCCGCGTTTTTCCTTGCCGCGACTCCCCTTGCACCACCAGCATCCCAAAGAACTCGTCTTCACGCGTTTCTTTTCCGCATTTTCTGGCTAGCTCGAACAAGTGTAGGTAGAGATCGAGCTCTTTTTCGCGACCCAAAAGCGGACGTGTCGATATCGACGAAGCTACCGCTCTCGTTCTAGAAAACGAACAACCGTCTGGTCAAGGTATACCATGACCAGAAATATTGTGTTTTTACAAACCGATGCCGTGATTAACTTCCAAAAATCCTATGGATTATACATTAATATGAAAAAAGTTTAAATGGATAATGTCTTAAAATGCATATCGAACAAGCAGATAAAACAAGTTCATAATTTTTAAATATCAAAAAGCTATAAACTAAACTTATTTGAAGCTATGGGGATTAACAAAATATCTGTTGGGATGGGTTTTACCACGGTCCTGCGATGGTCTGCGGTTAAGGCACGGCAAAATACTTAAAACGTCATAGCAATAAATGCACTATATTTTTGGTGGTATTATACTATAATAGTTTGTTAAGATCAAAATTATTTCGAATTAAATGATCTATTTACATTTCGATTTAGACCACTACATGCCGAAATTTTCATCTACAATTCATAACAATTCACCCTTACGCATACAAAATGGTTTCCTTTCATTTTTTTATCTCCCGACTCGATCCCAAGATTTTTAAATAAAAAGAAATTCATAGGATCACCTTTTAAGAAAGTTTGGAAACAATATTTTAAACAACAATAACAGCAAACCACAAAAAACGCAAAAATCTTATAGATTACAGATTAAAATAAAAAAAATATTAAAATGCATATTGAACAAACAGATTTTAGCAAATTCACAATTTTGATATGTCAAAAGGCTATAAACTAAACTTATTGGAAGCTATATATCTGTTGGGAATAAATGGACAATATTTTTGGTCGCACAATATACCGGGCGATTCGGCAAAAAGCGTACCGTTCGACTTCCTTAAACTCGTAGATCGGACCGGGACTGACGATGCCCTTTAATGGTTTAAACTCTTGCAAAATGAAATTCTTCGATTCGAGTTTGCTATGGAGGAACGTTTCTCGGTCGCAAATCACGCGATTGGGATACGCCATCATTAATCTGGCCGCCTTGTTTACTATCAGACTGATCACCGTGTATTCCCGCCTCAGGGTATGGCCGAAAGCGCCGCAGTAGGTTTTTCCTACAGATAAAACCATGCCCATTAGAAGTTTTATGAGAAACAACGTATTGGGTTGTTCGGAAAGTCATTTCGTTTTTTTTGGGGAACATGAAAGACAGTTTTCGTATAATGAATAAATATTTTATTAAATTATATATTGGCCATTCTGGTCCAACACCTTTTGCCATCTTTCTGGCAGTAACATAATTCCCCTCTCATAAAAGTTTTGGTCCTTGCTGGCAAAAAACTGGTTCAGGTGGTTTTTGACATCTTCATTTGAGGTAAAGGTTTTGCCATCCAAAAAATTTTGCAGGGACCGGAACAAATAGTAGTCGGAAGGCGCCAGATCTGGAGAATATGGTGGATGTTGCAGTACGTCCCATTCAAGCTGTAAAAGTTTTTGGCGAGTGACCAAACTTGTGTGAGGTCTGGCATTATCCTGGTGGAACACTACACCCTTCCTGTTGATTAATTCGGGCCTCTTCTCTTTAAGTGAATCATTCAATTTGTCCAGTTGATGACAATAGACTTCTGAATTAATCGTTGTATTGTCCCGCAAAAGCTCAAAAAAAAACGATTCCTTTGACATCCCACCAAACGGAGAGCATCACCTTTTTTTGGTGAATGTTGGCTTTTGACACGCTTTGAGCCGGTTCATCTTTTCTGCTCCATGACCTCTTGCTTTTAACATTGTTGTATACAACCCATTTTTCGTCCCCAGTAATAATCCGCTTCAAAAATGGATCATTTTCTTGACGTTTGAGGAGCAAATCACACACGTCAACGCGACGACACAAATTTCGCTCCGTAAGGACATGGGGCACCCACACATCGAGCTTCGAGGTTAAGCCCATGCCTTTCAAATGGCCATAAACAGTCGAATTCGACAAATTTAATCTCTCACCGATCTCTCGTGTGGTTATTCGCCGATTTGCATCAACTGATGCCTTTATCGCATCTTTGTCAGCTTCGACCGGCCTTCCAGACCGTGGTGCATCTTCGACATCAAAATTGCCGGATCGAAATTTTGCAAACCAGTTCTGGCACTGGCGTACTGTTAACACGCCTTCTCCATACACATCCGTCAATTTTTTTCTCGCTTGGATAGCATTTTTACCTTTTCTGAAGTAAAAAAGTAAAATATGACGAAAATGCTGCTTATTGCTCTCCATATTTAAAAGGGCACCAACCAAAAACTACTGCGTAGAATTAATAGAACTTTTTCACACACAAGCCTTGCAATATCAGCTCTCAAGACATATAATGGTTATGCGGGTTAATTGTGAAGTTGGTTTCGAAAAAACGTAATTAAGTCCTCTGACGGGAAAAAACGAAATGATTTTCCGAACAACCTTATACATATTATTGCGCAGCTCGGTATATGGACGTGATTGATTGACCCTGGCGTACCGTGCGTTCAATTTATCTCGATAACACTTTAATTGGCTGCAACTTTTTTGTTTACGAACCAAAATTTGTTGTACTATTAGGTTTCCATATAAAGCTATGTATTAATAGACTCTGTATAATGAATTTCGCACCCTCCTATAGTGAAAGAAAAAAGGGCACATCAGGTAACAATGTAAGGAATGTAGGACGACTTGTAATTAATGGAGTCTCTTCTCAGAATTGTTTACCCTAATCATCTAATTATCGAACCTGGTCGTCCTAAGTGTTTGTCTCGTAATAAGCAATTATGTTAATGCCTTTATCGGTATGTATAAAAGCGCACCATTGTTTCAATCAATTTGGCTTAATGAATAAGGCGAGCATGGCTAGTAAGCGAAATATTTTATCTCTAGATGATAAAGTTGCTTTAATTCGAGAGATAGAACCGGGAGAAAAGAGAAGTGATGTGGAACGTCGATACGGACTTGCGCCGTCGACTGTATCCACGATTTGGAAGTGCAAAGAAAAAATCATTCAGGCTGAAGCGGCAGGCAGTTCTAGTAAAAAACTAAGAAAGCCAAAATTTGAAGGTTTGGATCGGGCAATGTTGCAGTGGTTCCAACAGCAACGTCTTAAATATGTACCACTCTCTGGAACTATCATGAAACTAATAGTAGAAAAGTTTGCTTGGATGGTTGTGGAAGTTCAAACAGGGACATGGTATAAATTATGGACAGATAAGTGGTGAAGCCCGTGATGTCGACAGAAACGTCACTAACGATTGGCTGGAGAAGACGTCATTTTTAATGCTGACGAAACTGGTATTTTATACAAAATGACGCCAGATAAAACTCTTAAATTTCGAAGCAAAAAGTGTGTGGGTGGAAAACTTTCAAAAGAACGTATAACAGTGTTAGTAGCTGCCAATATGAGTGGGAGAGAATAAAGAAAGCTAGTCGTGATTGGAAAATCAACTAACCCGCGATGTTTTAAGAACATCAAGCATTTGCCGGTCGCTTTCAAGGCTGAGTGGATTGATCCCCATTCTCCCCATATCTATACTAATAGAGGAAACTGGATGTGCTTCATAAAATCCTAATATGTTTACCGTTTGCCGTACCTGTTTAGCAGCTGTGGTTGCACTTTTATTATTCAGAAGCATATTCTTCTTTAACGGATGCTAAATTGGCGAAAAACCAATTTAACAATAATGACTTGGATAATAATTCAACCCTCAACTTTGTTTTCGAATATGTCAAACACATTTTTATTTGTCAGTCATGGCATTCTTTGAAATTGTATAAAAATATCCTATTTTTGCCGATTTGTCAAAAACGAGTGAACTAAAATATAAAGTGTGTTACATCATCGTAATCGGAATTAGATATTCTGTTAAACACATAAGTAATGTACAGGGTGTTGTCGTTAAAAATATATGATGTAAGAAAAGTGGTAGTGTTTTGTTTCATACGTTACTTGTAAAAACACTTGGCTACTAATCCTACATTTTGTTTTTTTATTTACTTTGATATCTCTAACAACAATTAAACAGCCAATTAAAATGTTAATTTTTCAAAGAAACTTCCACAGGCTACTGTAATACTTTTTACAAAACTTTCCTCTCCAGGAGGAATCCAGAAAAAGAATTTTAAGAAGAAGAAGAATTTTTTATTAACCACATATACAAAGGGGTAAAAAAACGTATTTTATAAATAACACAGTAGTGAACAATAACAAAGGTAAAGGTCAACAACACTAACACGGAGTATAAAAATCTTATAGAAAGTGCAAAATAGTATGCTATGATCTTCACACATTTCAGTAAGTCAAGGATTTTAATTTAGTTTTTTTATTGTGTTTGAGTACAAGTTAATGTTAAAACAATTTTTTCCTGATGTAACAAGTCTGTTCTTTGGAAGTCTTATAAGATTTTTTGCAAGTGTTGGATAACTGTGAGACCAATATATTAGTATTTTTGTGAATTTCATTTCATTATCTTATATTTTTGAAAATATGGAGTAGTGTTCATTGTGCTTAGCGCCAGCAAGAATTCTTGAACATATTTGAACAGCATTGACAGAATTTTCCCATAATATTGTGTCATATGACATGTGGGAATAAAATAAAGCATAATACACTGTCATTAGGGCATTTTGGTCTAGGCACTCCCTAATTTTTCTAAGGACGAATAAGCTGGAAGATAATTTTCGCTTAAGAGATAAAATATGATTTTTCCAGTCAAGTCTACTAACAAGTGTAATGCCAGCCGACTGCCGTTCGCCGTTGTTGTATTTATCTAGAGAAAAGAATTTTTTTTGAGTATTGTCCGTATTCAATTTCAAATAATTTTCGTTAAACCAATTGTTGACAGACCCCAAAAAACGGCATAGATTAGCAACATAAACTATAAAAAATACAGGGTCGAGTACGGACCCTTAAGGAACCCCACTGGAGACCTTCACCAAAGAGGATTTTTTTGTCTAATAAATAAGATTCTGTTAGCTTAAGGGTTCCGCCGCGAAATCCATACCTAAACAGCTTCTGCTTAAGAAGATCGTGCGAGATACAGTCGAAGGCCTTGCTAAAGTCCACACATTGTCAACCCTATCCGATTTCAAGTCTCAAGACCCCCCCACCACATCTCCCACAACCTTACTTATCGCTTGTATGGTAGAACGCCCCTCCCTAAATCCAAATTGCACGTTCCCAAAGATATCCTGCTGCTCAAAAAAAAAACAATTTGTGAAGAAGTTTTGTAAAAAGAATTAAAATGTTATCAAGATAAATTGAACGCACGCTGCTAGTTATCTCTTACCGTTTTTAAGAAATGAAGTGAAATCTTCTCTATTGTCACAGCAATTTACATGTTAAACGCGCTTATTAAGATTAGACGGGGTTGGCCATGGCTGGCTTTCATTCTAACCCGCCATGCGGAAACGTATCGTCAGGTGGCAAAGTGAAACAATTGAACACACACTGTATTGACAGTAACAATTAATGTAAATGTTCGATGTGTCCCCTATTTTGGCATTCCTTTCTGCTGGATTTAAAACCTTATGGGAGTTGATTATTTGTTGACCAAAGATGTGGATTGTGATAAATTCCTTCCCATGTTAAATTTATACTCATCAGTCCAAATTATTATTATATTTTGATACGACCTTAAATGGCCACCTAGAAAATTCTTCGATATTTAAGACCACTGACAAAGAAATTCAGTGGATTATTAAAGTTCGTCATGAATTGAGGATATTTTGATTGTGGTAAGAAATTTGTCACTAGAGGGCACTTTTACCTAGAACATTTTTTTCATTTCGCTTGCATTTTATTTACTTAGAGTGCAAAACAGAACAGATTGCCTCAAGCAGAATCACAAATCCTCAAAAATTGTTATTTTCGTTTTAAGTCGATACCAAATTTTTTATTAATTTACAGAAAGATTTTACCCATTGTAACGGCAGCCCCGACTCCGGCAACGTGTTTAATTTTCATTAGAAGGTCGTAACATTCTTTGGCACATTTGAGAGCGATTTGGCTTTCGAGTTCATGTTTGAGACCCCGCAAACCGAATATTACGAGCAGCATCAGATCCTTGTCGAACATGTTCACTTTGTTTAGGCAACCGTACCGATGTTTCACCAAACTAAAACAACAACTTTGATTAGTTTCGGTTAGTTTATTTTCGAATGAGGACTGTAAACTATTGCAAAATAAACATCATTCAACTTCCATATACAGTTTTTAGTCGTAAAAGAACTATCGTGGTTATTGTAGGGTTTTTTCCAAAAAAACTTCCACTAACACCTATTTAATTTTTCAAAGAAATTTTCGCAGGCTACTGTGATACTTTTTACAAAATATCTGTTGCCCAACCCCCAAGGCAACACCCTTCCATTCTTAGATATTCTTATCAAATCAGACCTAACATTGGGTGTTTACAGAAAACTAACCAAAAATCATCGGTTTTCAACTCTCTTGTTTACTATGTTAACTATCTCAGCCCTAGTCATTGAACGCAGAATTAAAACACCTTACCTCCGCACTTCTCTCTATTAATGTCCACATTAAAGTTATCCAGCGTTCCAACACAAGATTTTTGGACAAGTGGCAAATCTGGTTCTGACGTTATATTTCTTTAGAACTTTTGATATGTGATCAGTGATGTTTTGAATGTAAGGGAAGACAACAGTGGCAAGTGTGGGATTGCTCTCAGCTTCATTGCTATCGGAAAGTTGTGGGGAAGTGTACTTTGTGATGGATCTAGGTAAACTTGAAGCTGTGAAAGAACCCAGAATATTTCTTAAACATCTACAATATAAGGAGCAGTTTAGCTTGACTAGACTACAGAATAGGAGAGAATATCTCGATACTGTTCTTTCTTTTTAAGATTGTTAATAATGTAGTTATCTTATCCGAAATACTAGGCACTATGAAGATTTACTTTCTCTCTGAGGTTAAATTCAACTAGTTTTAGACATATTTAGTTTCGTCCCATTGTTATAGCTTATTGATTTAATAAGTAAATATAACTAATATCTATTAACTATTTTTATTGATAAACCTCGGAATTTTCACATATTTTGTTGAAACTTGGAATGTATAAATACCTTGTCAGATCACAGCATTATTCTATCTATGGTCTCAAAGTGCATTTAGTTGAATAAAGCCCTTTATTTTTCATAAACTTTTCTTTCTTCTTTAGTTTGAGTACTAACTAAGTTAAAAGAAGCAACAAACGATTATTAAGTGTAAAAATTAGGTCTAATATCATTAAATTTTAAACCAAATAAAAGAATATTTAAAGTATCTATAGAGAGTGTTTTTTTGGTCAAAATATGTTAGTAAAGTCTGTTCATAGATATAAGAAAGTGACTAACTGATACGAATTAAGGAAAGACCCGGGCAAGCTGTAAGAATGAAATATGGCTGAACAAATCCGCACTTTCCTTACAATTTAATTATATGGGGTTTTGTTAGGAAAGATACTAAACAATATTTATAGTGTTTTCTACATTTGGGCGGGAGCATCTCCTGAGATACACTAGACTCGCACGTATTTTGCATAATTCGCACACGATTATTACACTGTATTACACACGAAATAAGAATGATTACTAATAAACTTAAACTAAGTAGTATACCAAACCAAAGAATATTAAACACAGATAGGTATAAAATTATTTTCTATTACGGACCACAATTTTACCTGAATTTAAATTCCTAAACTTTAGGTAATAATCTTATTGCATTGTATGTTAATGACCACCCTTGGATAGTCCCATTCAAAAGCCACTTTCTTATATCTATGAACAGACCATACAATATTAATGTTACTATCTTAAGGAGGATGGTATATTTGTGTTGACTGGATTTTTGGATTTTAATTGTGGTTTTTCAAACAATAAGGGGAACTAGAGAATTGTTATTAAGAGAACAGCTTATGAATGGTTTTGTTCGTAGTTAACAAGGTACAAAAAAGTAAATATAAAGATTGTGTTACTTGTTTAGAGAATCGTAATACTATCTCAGCTCGAGTAACTGTACCCAGGATTAAAACACCTTACCTCCGCTTTTCTCTCTAATAATTTCCACAGTAAAGATATTAAGCGCTCCATCACACGGAAGCAATTCTACACTTGTCACTGTTGTCCTCCCTTACATTCAAAACATCACTGACCAAAACCAGATTTACCACTCATCCAAAAATCTCTCAACATCTTCGATAAGTGAAAAACAAAAAAAAAGATTCCAGGAGTTTACAGCATTAGCACATACCTGCAGACCGTGACGTATACTTCGTTGGCGATATCGATGCACTGATTGGGTTTGATCGCTTGTTCGGGATCTATTTTGCAGTTGATAAACAGTACGGTCACATGACGTATTTCTGTCAGATACTCGATAGGTTCTTCCGCGCTGATGGCCTTTTCTACCGGTGGTATCACGAATTTTTTTAGGTCATTTAACATCTTCATTCTGACGCAGAAATTCACAGAGGGCCTCACTATACGGAGAAGAAAATACCAAAGACATTATAGTTTAGTTTGTGGTTTTTTTGTATTGACTACGTTTTACGAACAGTAACTGTAAAAAGTAAAAAATTCACAACAAAAGTATCACAAAAACAATCTTAATAATTATAAACGCTTACGTAATTTTGTTATGTCGGAACTTAAAAGGGAAACAGAGAATTATATTCCTTCAGAAAATAATTTAGTTTTCATCATTTGTTCCAGTAGAAACTATTTATCCGACTCCACCCAATTAATGTTTTTTTTTTCATTTTTGCAGGATATTACAAACCGCACCGACAGTAGTATTTCCTATGAAAATAATTTATTGCCTGCCCTGTACATTTTATAGCAAATTTGTAATATAAGTTTTGTTTGAAGTTTGAATAAATTTTTAATAAATTAAATGCCGGCAAAATTACAAAAGATCAAAACAACAAATACCAGCGAATATTTTGCAACATTTTTAAAGGTGGACAACGATATATCAAATAAAGGTAAAAGAAGCTTCAAGGAACAACTATAAATTTGACCCCCAAATCTTTTAATACAAATAATTAATAATTTTAATAGAAATTCGGCTACGAAACACTGCTAAAAAGGAATACTATTTAAAATAAGCATTATTTTTTATGTAAATGTTCAAACAGCCCTCTATTAACAGCTGAATAATATCCTAACATGTTTGTAATATATAATTAATAATTATAATAGAAATTCGGTTACCAAACACTGCTAAAAAGAAATATTATTTAAAATAATCATTATTTTTTATGTAAATGTTCAAACAACCCTCCATTAACAGCTAAATGCTATCCTAACATTTTTTTAATATATAATTAATAATTATAATAGAAATTCGACTACAAAACACTGCTAAAAAGGAATACTATTTAAAATAAACATTATTTTTTATGTAAATGTTCACACAGCCCTCTATTAACAGCTGAATAATATCCTAACATGTTTGTAATATATAATTAATAATTATAATAGAAATTCGACTACGAAACACTGGTAAAAAGAAATATTATTTAAAATAATCATTATTTTTTATGTAAATGTTCAAACAACCCTCTATTAACAGCTAAATGATATCCTAACATTTTTTTAATATATAATTAATAATTATAATAGAAATTCGGCTACAAAACACTTCTAAAAAGAAATATTGTTTAAAATAAACATTATTTTTTATGTAAATGTTCAAACAACGCTCTATTAACAGCTAAATAATATTCTAACATTTTTATAATATATAATCAATAATTATAATAGAAATTCGGTTACCAAACACAGCTAAAAAGAAATATTATTTAAAATAAACATTATTTTTTATGTAAATGTTCAAACAACCCCCTATTAACAGCTTAATAATATCCTAACATTTTTATAATATATAATCAATAATTATAATAGAAATTCGACTACAAAACACTGCTAAAAACGAATACTATTTAAAATAAACATTATTTTTTATGTAAATGTTCAAACAGCCCTCTATTAACAGCTGAATAATATCCTAACATGTTTGTAATATATAATTAATAATTATCATAGAAATTCGGTTACCAAACACTGCTTAAAAGAAATATTATTTAAAATAAACATTATTTTTTATGTAAATGTTCAAACAACCCTCTATTAACAGCTAAATGATATCCTAACATTTTTTTAATATATAATTAATAATTATAATAGAAATTCGGCTACAAAACACTTCTAAAAAGAAATATTGTTTAAAATAAACATTATTTTTTATGTAAATGTTCAAACAATCCTCTATTAACAGCTAGATAATTTCCTAACCTTTTTGTAAATAACACTTTTCAAGTGACCCAACAGAAAGGTCAGATGACTTGGGTGACCAATGTAAAAAAAATATTTGTAAAAAGTCCAAATAGATTTCCGCCACGAGGTTATGGTCCATTAAAATGGCCTAAATTCCCACCATAACATTTAATTTTTCGAGTATAAAGAAAATTATATTCATTGTCTTGGCTCCTATACCGAGAGTTTTGAACATATGTTTTAAAAAATCCTTATCATTTCAAAATAAAATGCTGCTCTCTCTTGCTCTTGCTTCCTGTAAATGCTGTTCGCATTTACAGGAAAAATATTTGCGTTTTTTTAATATGCGCAACACCATGCTTTGATGCTAATTTACCACTTTTCCTGCTGTTTCCTGCCTAATACCACTTTACTAGGACATAATTAGCTCTAATTAAAGCCCGTTAAATAACGTATAACAATTAAAAATAAAAATATTGTCACATCAAAATATATTTTACTGTTGATTTATTACTTAAACTTAAAAAAGGTCGGCTTATTCAAAATTTACGGGCCCCTTCAAAAAGTTATATTACAACTTAACTATAAAATATACAGGGGAGTCAATATTTGGGCATCTAAAAATTAATCGCCCAGTATATTCAGCTGCTCTGCTGTGTCAACCCTTCTGAATGAAGTCCAGATAGGATACGCAACACAAAGGCAATTCCAAAATAAAGCACCTGACTTTAAAATGTTGTCATTGCTACAGTGAAAAAATTCAGTGACGCCATTAAGATGTCATTTGGATCGGAAAAGTGCGCAAACAACAGGAATGAAGAAAGGAAAACTGGAACCATCAGGTGAAGAAGAAGAATCTTTCTTGGTATACCAAAAAACATTAAAGGAAACCATTCCCAACTTAAGCAGCAGTTCACTGAAAAGTACAACACCCGGTCTATAAGAAATACTGATAAAAACTTCACACCACTCAACTTAGGTATGCCAATAGTAACCGATACAACATCAATGTTACAATGTAAATAGCCTCTAATACTCGAAGATACATTCATCGACAAAACAGCATCACCACAGTGTGAAATGTAGCAATACCGGAGAATCAACGGGTTGGTGTAACGCAATAGCAGATAATGCTTATTTAGGACACAGATACAACAACTATCCAGTTATAACAAATCTGACATCTTAACGAAGTAGCTATATGTCCATTGGTTATGTCGATGGAGGGAATTGCTACAAAAAATTTCAAGAAAATCCTGGAGATACTAGACATGCACAATTACATCGTTGATGTACCATAATACTCCGGACATTTTTCAAAAATTTTTGGACTTAGGTGAATGGATAGGAGAAAACTCCTCTCTACCCATATCACATATATCACATCACCGATACCTGCAAAGCAGATAAATTTGAGACCGATAGTAACAATAATAATAATAATAAATAGCCTTTATTAAAATACCACAAAAAGAACAACCCACAACAAAGTTGAACAGGAAAGGTCTAGCAGGGCTACTTCACCTCACCAACTACACAATGTAGTGGAATATTCAGAAGTTAACAAAAAAAATACTAACAATTATAAATATCAACCCCTAAGTCCACCCAAATTCACATTTATTTTTATTTATAACATTTATTTAGATGCCTAGAGAAAACGGAGAACAATAAAGGTCCTAAAATGCTGCCTTGAGGAACTCCTCTTAAAATTGGTAGAAGGACGGAAAGGTAGAAAAACGGAACCCTCCCAAGTAAGTTTTCATATAGCAGTGTCGTTTAAACCGACGAACTTAAACTTTAAAATGAGAAGATTATGATTCAAGCTAAGGTTAGTGTGTTGTTCGGTTTCCGTAAATGATTTTTTTACGTGTTATAAACATTTTATGACATCATCGAAGAATACCGACATGCGTATTGGTCACTGGCGACGTAAATCTGGGTGGCCGCCGTGTCAGCTGATGTCCTCAAGGTTCCGCCACGAGACCCGTTCACCGTAACACATTCCGTATCTTCATCTTCGCTCACTTCGTTGATACTCTCGTCGCTTTCTTTTTGATCGTCCACGACAAGTTTGAACTTGTCTTCTGCGCGAGCAAAAATAAAAGGGTACTTTTAACGCCACATGGTTACCTTACCTTTGGTGGTTTCCCTTTTCTTTATATTCCTCCAGTTTGGGCCTACTCCGTAAACCTAGAAATTCGACTGTGGGACTATTATCATTTTCTGTAGGAACGTAATCGAATGGTTCAAACAATAAATGTCACTAAGAGCGACTCAAGAGTCAAAAAAGTGGAGGACATTTTTTTGACAATACAATTTCTTACGATATGATATATATCATGATAAATTACGTTACCACATTTCAACAAAATCGGGAGAAACATAGCAAACATTTTATAAAATTTCGCTTTTTCTTTTTGAAAAATTAAAAAGTCGTTTTTTAAAAACGTATCTTGGAAATTAAACATTTTCGGAACTATCCTGTATTCAACTTCGGAAACTGTATCTCTAAGGTAAGGATGTCCATCATGGGGATATTGGAACCCATAAGAGATACGAAGATACGATACGATAAATGAAACGAAAATTGCAAAAAAATAAAATTGTAGGATTTCGCTTTTATTTTCTTTTCTCGTTGCTACTTTTTGAGATTTACAAAAATCAAAAATTAAATTATAATGAAAACACCTTGGAACTGTCAAATTTCAAGCATTTCTCTACATATCAGTTGTAATGATTGAACTGACGTGGCTTTTACTTGAACATCCATTTAACCAAATAAATGAGAACTAAAAAAATTATATATATATATATATATATATATATATATATATATATATATATATATATATATATATATATATATATATATATATATATATATATATATATATATTCACATGACACTTGTTTCGACAACACGTCGTTCCGAAGTTTAGTGAGTTGGGATAAAAATCTCAATAGTTTATCAATAAAACTGTACTTTTCAAACCAATTGGTGTTTGCTTTGAAATTAATTAACGCATAAAATTTGGTATCCTGTGTACCATCATCATTTAGATCGTTTTAAATCGAACTGAGGTGGCTTATACTTGATGAAATGTAATATTTACAAACTACCTGCTACTATATATACTCGTATTACCAATTTTTGAAAAAAAAGATAGGTTAAAAAATTTTATGGAGATCCAATTAACTTTTCTTTAGAGTTAATTTTTCAAAGGAAGTTCCACAGGCTGCTCTAATGCTATTTGCAAAACTTCTGGATTGAATTGAATGGAAGTTGCTGACGTTTGGCCAATCGGCCTATTGGCTTCTTCAGAGCTTGACTGAAACTGGCTCGCATTTTACTCTGTACCTGTTTATATATTGCTTAAGGGGGGCGGAGCTAAATGACTTAATGACTGATTCCCATATTGGTGACAGGTAAAGACTCGAGTCGCGGTTAAGATTATTAGGTTCTATAGACTCTCGGATTTTTCTTTGGTAGAATAATTGATTACGTGCTTAACCGCTGATGAGTCTATTTGTTTCAGTCTTAAGGTTCTTTCATGTTCTTTGGTCTCTCCAATGCATTCTTTGCGCCCATATGCATGGAAAGCTGTAAACTCCTAGCATTTCAAATGGAATTTTATTGTTGAGAGATTTTTGGACAAGTGGTAAATCTGGTTTTGACGTTATATAGAACTTTTGATATGTGGTCAGTGATGTTTGGATGTAAGGAAGGACCACAGTGGCAAGTGTAGGATTGCTTTCGGCCTCATTGCTATTGGAAGGTTGTGGTGAAGTGTATTTTTTGATAGAACGCTTAATATCTTTAATGTGGAAATTATTAGAGAGAAGGGCAGAGGTAAGATGTTTTAATTCTGTTTTGAGTGATTCGGGCTGAGATAGTTTTACGGCTCTCTATACAAGAGAGTTGATAACCGATGATTTTTGGGCCGGATGGTGATTAATCTATAAGTCTGTGTGCGTAGGTTTTCTGTAAACACAATGACCCAATGTTAGGTTTGACTTTCTGTTGATAAGAATAACTAAGAATCGGAGGTTATTATTAGTTTCTAATTCAATGGTAAAATGTATGTCAGGGTCTATAGAGTTTAAATGTCTAAGAAAACATAACAAAAGTATCATTGACGTACCGTTTCCATAATTTTGGTTTTTGATCGAAGGTGTCGAGGCCTTTCTTTTTAAAGGCCATAAATATATTGGCGATGGCTGGTGATAATGGAGCTGTTGTCGAAGCATTTTTCAATTAAGGTGAGAAGGTTTGGTTCTAAATTCTCGGATTTTAATATATCTGAAATGATGTTGAGAGTTTCAGGAATAGGAACTTTGAGATAGAGGGATTCTACGTCGAAACTAACTAGAATATCTTGTGTATCTAGTGTAATGCTTTTTAATTATTCAATGAAGTGAAATGAATTTCTTCTAAGGGGGTTTAATAAGGAAACTAGATATTTTGCTAGAAAATAAGTTGTAGAATCAATGGAGCTGACAGTAGATCGAAATTGAAGCCAAGTGATTCTCGAAACGTCAGCTAGTTCTTAACACTTGTTTCATATTATTGAAGTACTTAGGGATACATAACGGTGAAGTTCAAATTGATTCGATAAAAAAATACAACAAATTTAAAATTATAAACGTTTCATCGTATTAGCAAACCACTTTTTCCGTTTCCTTCAGAAAATACGTAAATTTTGGGTGGAAAGACATTTTTTGAAAAACCTGGTGGTGTAGCAACATCGATTTCGTACTTTCGCGAGTCCATCTTTCAATTCTTCAGCTAGGTATTCGTTGGGGCTGACGTGTTGCCAAGCGGCGCGTGTCACGATGATGTCTCCCGCAAAACTCTGGGCTTCGGCAGCTTTCAAGTCCAAAACCGACTGGCCAAACAGGAAGTAGTGGGAGTTCTCTTCGTTTCCCAACAGCGAAAAAATTACGTTTCCCGATGAAATCGCTAGTTTTACTGAAACGTACACAGGGTTAGATTTATCTGATTGACGTCGATTGGTGTGCAAGTAAAGTTGGAGAAAATATTATCACGCGCAAAACGAATTTGCATGGCGCATTTTTCAATAAGTCCATAAGTAAGATCGTTACGTGTACCTCGCATTAACAAACGCGTGACTTGAATGCGACTGGGGAGGGGCCAGTTTCGGCAAAGTATTTGGAGGCGTCAACGCAAAAGACACACACAAAAGACAGTTAACGAAGGTAGGAAGAAGATTTGTTTCAAACTGCATTCGCTACTTAAATCAATATTCCAACAAAAAAGTAACCAAAGTCAGAGTCAAATCACGCGTACTAGTCGATAGTGGGTTAATTTTACGCACCGATAGCGTGCGGGAAGCGTCACTTTACCACGTCAGCTTCGTTTCCCACGGATCCGTGTCACTTCGCAATTGCAATTGTAATGTTATGCAATATATCAGACAATTTAAGTACTACGTGCTATAAGCTACAATTAAAATCTAGTGGAATTGTCGATAAGTAAAGTGACATTTATAATTTAAGTTTCCCAGAAAAATTTTACAGTTTTTACAGTTTTTATATTAATATCTTGCCAAAACCAATTGTACTATTTCTCAAATAAAAATATCCAACAAATAAAAATATCCACAAAATTGTTGCTACTTTTTCTGGCTTATATGATCTTAAGAATTTGATCCCCTTAAAAGCTTTGATGATTTTTCCTCCAATTACAGTGTTTTTCTTTAAATAGACTAAGTGATCAATTGTAAAAGTTCAATAAACGAAATAAATAAGAACTAGAAGTTCAGATTTTCACGAAATTATATGTTTCGACAACACCGCGTCTTTATCAAATGTAATATTTACAAACTACCTGCTACTATATATACCGAAAAATGACCATAAAACCTTAATTAATGTTGTTATGAGAATTTAAGTTGAATAAAGGAGAGGTATTTAAATCTAATTTAATTTTCTACTTTTTGTGGCTGTATGCAAAGTATCAAAATTGTCGTCAACAATTTGTTTTTCTGTGTTTAAGTGTGTAGCATAATTAGAATCTGGACTATTGTTTTTAAACGCTCTTTTATGTTCGTTAATGCGTTTCTTGAAGGATCTACCTGGTTGTCCAATATAAATTTTAGGACAAGATCCGCATTTCAACCTGTACACACCTGATTTTTGAGATTTTGGGCATTTCGTTTTATTGGGTTTTAAAAATTTTCCTACTGTGTTGTTAGTTCTCAAAGCTATTTTTAAACCACATTTTGACAAATGTTTTGAAACTGTTTTACTGGGTTCTACTATGTATGTAATTGTTTTAAGTTGTTCGTCTTCTGCATTAGGTTTCGGATAAATAGAATTTCCTGTTGTCTGGATTGTTTTTTATTTATAATTTGATGTATAACGGGCCGGTTGTAGCCGTAGTACCTCCAGTGTTACTTATTAAATCGCAGGAAATTTTTTATACGATATTGCAGCTCTTCTACAGTGTTAACTGGGGTGCGATAAACCAGAATTTCTAGACGTCCCCATAACAAAAAGTCCAAACTATTCAAATCTGGGGACCTAAACGTCGGATATTTAATGTGTGATTTAAATATTCTCTTACCGCAGCACTCAAGTGAGCTGGCGCGCTGTTTTGCTTGAACGACATTGTGCTCGTTTTCATCGCCCCAAGTCATACCCCCTGCTAAAATAAAAGATCCTACTGTGGCTGTATGTTAAATATCAAAATTGTCGTCAAAAATGTGTTTTTCTGTGTTTAAGTGTGTAGCATAATTAGAATTTAGACTATTGTTTTTAAACGCTCTTTTATGTTCGTTAATGCGTTTTTTGAAGGATCTACATGTTTGTCCAATATAAATTTTAGGACACCTGATTTTTGGGATTTTGGACATTTCGTTTTATTGTTTTTTAAATATTTTCCTATTGTGTTAGTTCGGAAAGCTATTTTTAAACCACATTTTGACAAATGTTTTGAAGCTTTTTCACTAGGTTCTCTTATTTATGTCATTGTTTTAAATTGTATTAAACTGATTAGGTTTTGTATTAGGTTTCGGATAAATAGAGTTTACTGTTGTTTGTATTTGTCTTTTATTTATAATTTTATCTATAATGGACGGATTGTAGCCATTGTTCAGTGCTATTTGTTTAATGATATTAAGTTCTTTGTTGTAATTTTCTGTTGAGAGTGGCGTATTAAGAAGTCTGTGTATATAAAATAGTGAAATGCAGCCATTTTGTGTGTAAAAGGGTGATTTGAGCTGTTATGTATGACTGTATCCGTGTGTGAAGGTTTATGATAAATTGAAAAATCTAATTTGTTTTGCGCTTTCGTAATAGTTAAGTCTAAAAAATTAATAGAGTTATCCTGTTCAATCTCGATAGTGAATTTTATACGATTATGTAATGAGTTAATGCAATTCAAAAAATGATTCAATTGCCTGTCCGTTCCAACAAAGCAAGCAAAGACATCGTTGATGTATCTATACCACCACAAAAAACTTTTACTTAAAGGATATTCTAGTATGATTTCTTTCCAAATTATCCATAAAAATTTCGATTATCAAAGGACTAAGTGGGTTTCCCATAATCAAACCTTCCTTAGAGATGTAAATCTGTCCATTAAATTCAAAATAATTTTGGTCTATTAAGCAATCTAATAAATCTTGTTTCACCAATGGGTGAACCTGTTTCCGAGTTATGGTGAAATCTACTAAATCTATCACATCCATAGGTGGAATACTGGGAAATAAGTTTTGTACATCAAAAGACAATAGTGTTCAGTTAGATTAAATTTTGATATCTTTAATTTTGTTGATTAATCCAAAAGAATTTTTTATTGCAAATTTTGGTTTAAAATCGGTGTGGAACTTTAAAATATTTACTAATTTTGTTGAGAGTTTTCCTGCTGGAGCCGTTACATAAGACACGACTAGTTCAATAGAAAAATCTTGTTTATGTAATTTAACTAAAGAATATAATTTCGGCAGTTGAGGATTTATAATTGTTAATTAATGTCTTTGTCACTAAATAGTGTGGAGTGAGTAATTACTTCCTTGACTTGTCTTTGATATAACTCGGTAGGATCGTGTTTGATACATTGGAAAAGTTCTGGTTTAAGAAAATTGTTGGTTTTTGAAATATATTCTGGGAGATCGATAGTTATGACTGCCTTCCCTTTATCTGCACGTGTAAATATTATGTTATTTTCAGAAGCTTTGTTTTTGATATTTGCTAGCGACATTTGATGTTGTAGAGAGAATTGTCATATGAAAATATATAATTTCGTGAAAATCTAAACTTCTAGTTCTTATTTATTTTGTTGAGTAGATTTTCATCAAGTAAAAGCCACATCAGTTCAATTTTTAAATTTTTCGTTTTTTTTTGAGCGTACTGTTTCGGTTTCTAGAGACATTTTTAGCGTTTCCTTTTTCTCCAGAATAGCAACGGAGACTGCTTCCCAATAAGTGAAATAAAACTGTCCCTTACTTCAAGGTGTTACGGCATTTTTCTTTGCAGGATTCACCGATTTGTGTGAAAAATAAAGAATATAATTTCGGCGGTTGTGAATTCACAATTGTTAAAAAATATTTGTCTTTGTCACTACGCTTCCCGTACGTTAAATCGGTGTGTAATTGGGCATTTTACGAACGGGAGTAGAAAACATCGTCAACGTTTCGGTGTACTTCCAAGCGAATCGCAACTTCAACAATAAATGATTTACGATCTGTCAAGAACTTGAAACAGTAATTGAGCATTTATGGTGTCTCATATCTTAGAATTATTGCGATTGTTTCGACGTACTAGGTACGAATTGTTCTTGGATACTTGCAGTTTTTTTTTCTTTTTGATAATGTTCCCGTGCAATTGCCTGATTATTTATGACATTATATTTTATTGGTATGAAAATGTGTTTTGATATGTGGAGCATTTCTTTCTCTCTAGAGTCTGTCATAGCCCTGTGGTACTATTTATATTGTAAGATTTTCGGAAATTCAGAAAACCGGTCATTTTCGCGGCCTTGATCAAAAATGTTTCTGTGTTTTGGTGATCTGTAAGAATGAAATTATAGTCTTAAATACTATCAATGTAATAAGGTGTGAGCTGACATAAAAAATAACACACAAAAGTAATTTAAGGGTACAGATCGATTAATAAAATATATCCGAAAGAGGTTGTTCTATTTGACCACTAAATTGATGTCTGAAAACCTTCTCACCGACCTCTGATAACCACGTCCACGTCGGTTTCGTAGCGTCCGTACGTTTTCTGGATGACCAACGAGCAGTCCAGCGCTTCGTGGACAATATCTTTCATCGCCATGTTTTCCGAAACCTTCCACATCGCTATAAAGGCGTCGCCGGAAAATTTGAGGACGTCACCGTCGTGAGATAAAATTTCCTGCACCATGGCGCCGATGTAACTATTCAACACTTGGGTCAGCCTCGACGGGCCTCCTTTGCCCGATTTGTTGTATTTTTCACACAAATCGGTGAATCCTGCAAAGGAAAATGCCGTAACGCCTTGAAGTAAGGGACAGTTTTATTTCACTCATTGGGAAGCAGTCTCCGTTGCTATTCTGGAGAAAAAAGAAACGCTAAAAATGTCTCTAGAAACCGAAACAGTACGCTCAAAAAAAAAACGAAAAATTTAAATATTGAACTGATGTGGCTTTTACTTGATGAAAATCTACTCAACAAAATAAATAAGAACTAGAAGTTTAGATTTTCACGAAATTATATATTTTCACATGACAATTCTCTCTACAACATCAAATGTCGCTAGCAAATATCAAAAACAAAGCTTCTGAAAATAACATAATATTTACACGTGCAGATAAAGGGAAGGCAGTCATAACTATCGATCTCCCAGAATATATTTCAAAAACCAACAATTTTCTTACACCAGAACTTTTCCAATGTATCAAACACGATCCTACCGAGTTATATCAAAGACAAGTCAAGGAAGTAATTACTCACTCCACACTATTTAGTGACAAAGACATTAATTAACAATTATAAATCCTCAACTGCCGAAATTATATTCTTTAGTTAAATTACATAAACAAGATTTTCCTATTGGACTAGTCGTGTCTTATGTAACGGCTCCAGCAGGAAAAGTCTCAACAAAATTAGTAAATATTTTAAAGTTCCCCACCGATTTTAAACCAAAATTTGCAATAAAAAATTCTTTTGGATTAATCAACAAAATTAAAGATATCAAAATCCCTTCTAACGCAACTCTATTTTCTTTTGATATACAAAACTTATTTCCCAGTATTCCGAAAAAAGGCAATGTTGAGATAAAATTTGCAAATGCATTGATTGAAAAAAAAAACAACAATGCAAAAACGACTACGGTAAACAGAACAAGTCTAAAATCATTTTATTACTACAGGAAGCTTCCAATATCATGGACCACATCCATAAAAGGTCAACAGATTAAAGAGAAGAAGCTTCTTTTTGCTCTTTGCTTTTACAATATTACTTATTTTACTTTTTATAATAAAGTTTATTGCTTTTTTAGGAAAAAAAAAAGAAAACGGCATTGAGAAATAATATATTTCAATGCTTCCCCTGGGAACGCCTTAAAATAGCAAGCCGTATTTGGAAATCTTTCCATCGCATTCGAATCGTCGGAGCAACGTAGTCGAAATTTAAATTTTGCCGTCAGTTTGGAACAAAGAACAATTTAACCCTAGCGATAACAATAACAAATACAGTTTTATTTATTGCCACATAAATAATTTTCTCAAGGCCCGACCGCAGACGAGATATCGCGAACATACGTAATCAGGCATCGATTTTAAATCAAAATAATCTGAGAGTAGGATGTGGTCGACTGATGGTAAGGCCGGCTTTTTAAAATAACGATATTTAACGATGACATCACATCCGAAGGACGACTGTAGGATGTATTTTAGATGAGAAAAATCGGAGATCTCTAATGGGGAAAAAACACACGTTGTTTTTTTTTCTACTTCAACAGGCTGCTGCAATACTATTTACAAATCTTCTTTATTCCTCATGCCTTGGTTATTGATAAATTGAACTTGCTGACGCTTTGGCAATTATACCGTTGGTTGTTTAGAGCTTTACTGAAGCTCTGTTTATATTTCTAGGAGTTTTGGTTAGTTAGTTAGGACATCAAACACAACAGCAAAGAAACCTTCTTGTTACAGAGTATAACTTTATCTCTAATTTTCTTAAAATATCCCACATTGTTAAAACCCCACAAGCTTATAAAATTCTTCGGAAATCTAATTTTGATTTATTACGAGAAAAAACTCAAATTAGTTGCATATTGTCCACATTCGGGTTCGATACCTTTTTAAATAAGGTTCACGATAAATCAATCCAAACTTCCTAAATCTAATATGAACGCATAGCTCTAAAATCGCTGAAATCTAACCCCTACATCGTAATTCTACGGTGGTCATGAATACAATTGACTATCTGGAAAAAATTAAATTTATTTTTACATTGTTACCCTGCGTGATCTATGGGCGCAGCCTTAAATCCATTATTATTGAATTGGATAAGAACAAATATGTAACAACAGTGTTTGTCGATCATCAAAAGGCGTTCGATACTGTCAATATATAGGAAAAGCACCTTGTGACCTAAATATACGAGGTTAGCGGCCTGAGATAGATGCAGCTCCAGTATCACGATAAAACTTTGTCTTCGTCTTGCGTCAAGTAGTTTTTTATTGACTGCATTTTAAACAAGACGTGTCCGAAAAAATGTCGCAAATAACGCAAATTGAGCAGTCATAAAGTTTTTGACAAAAGAACGGTCAGCACTTAAAATTATTAAACAAAGGCTGGATGGTGTGTACGGCCAAGTTTTCCTTCGTATTCTGTAGTGAAAGAATGGGCAAAAGGTTTTCGACTGGGGCACAAGTCCCTTGAAGATGATTCAAGAACTGGTCGACCAATGGAGGTCAGGAAGATATTGTTGTGATTGTGAAAGAGGTGGTATTGACTGATCGACGTTTAAAGGTCAAGGAAATCTCAGAAATTACTAAGCTTTCTGATACAAGTGTTCGCCTAATCCTGCATGATTATTTAGGTATGCATAAGCTTAGTGCAAGATGGGTTCCGAAAAACCTTTCGGCAATTAAAAAAAAACGCCCTGTTGAGTGTGCGCGGTCTTTTTTGGAACTCTGTGGGTCAGAACCGAAGTCGGTGATAGAAACTATTGTGACGAGAGATGAAACTATGGTTCTCTATTATGACCCTCTACCGAAAAAAGAATCAATGGAGTGGCGTCGTAAGGATGAAGCACCTCCAAGAAAATTCAGAGTCTGCCAGTCAACAAAAAAGGCGATGGCCACGATCTTTTGGGATTGTGAAGGAATTCTTTTGATAGATTTTAAAGAAACGGTCAATGGTAAATATTACGCAAAATTATTACATAAATTGCGAGACTGCATACGTGTAAAACGTCGAGGAAAACTGACCAGAGGCGTGCGTCTTTTGCACGATAATGCACCTGTCCATACTGCTGGTGTTGCGCAAGCTGCCATTTTAGAGTGTGGGTTCCAACAGATAAATCATCCTCCCTGTAGTCCAAATATGGCCCCAGCGACTATTATTTGTTTGAATAATTGAAAAAGGACTTACGTGGACGGCGGTTTAACGACGAAGTTTAGTTAAAAGAGGCTGTTTTAGCTCATTTTGCAGAATATTTTTTTAAAGGGATTGAGTTGTTAATAAAGAGATGTAATAAGTGTTTTGAAGTTGTTTCTTTCATATTCAGGCCGGGAAATTTTGGCGCTGCCCTCGTAAAAATAAATGAAGCGGCACTCAAAAGAGCGTGTGAATATAAATACCTAGGGCTAACTATTTCTGAAAATCTAACTTGGGATAGACATATTGAGACTGTAATTGACAAAACTGTACCAATGTTAGGTGCAACAAAAAAGATGTTCGCATCAACTCAACCAAAAAACAAGACAGCTGCTTTATGATAACTTCGTAGAGCCACACCTGAGATACTTTTCAACATGGTGAGGAAACACCAGCATAGCACAGCTAAATAAATTACAAAGGCTACAAAATAAAGCACTTAAAGTAATATTTGGAGTGAACTTTAATATGTCTAGTGAAGAAACATACCTTATTTAAAAATATGTGAACTTAAGATACTAGAACAAACAAAATTAATTTATTTAATTCAAAACAAAGTGATTAAAACAAATGCGAAACTGACTGGAAATGGACAGCGTTACAGCTACAGCACAAGAAACAATGATAAGTTAAGAAATGTATACGCAAGGACCAAAAAGAAACAAGACTCGCCCAATATACAGATGCCTTCAAGTGTTTAATGAAATACCACAACTCTTATAAGAAAAAATAGAATATAAACTTATATTAACAAACTGTTATATTTTATTTTACTAGTATATTTTACATATTTTTCTGTTACGGTTTTTGTAAAGTATAGATGCCTGAATTAAATTTAAAAAAAAAAAAACAAAACCTTACTTATAACTTGAAACAATTGAAAACCATTACAATAGATCCAAATGATATTCTGGTCAGTTTCAACGTAGAATCTCTCAGACCTAACATTGAGTCATTTTAGGCTGAAAGAAAATCATCAGCAGCTGCCAACAGACAAACTGAAATTCTTGCAAGTAATCAACTCTTCTACCAATGAAAAAGCCGAGGATCCATGAGCAACCAATCAATTTTAACTGCTACTCACTCGTATAGGAATCAGTCATCCTAGACAACGTATATGCCCTTCCTTTAACTTCTCCCCCCTCAAACAATATATAAGCAGCTACAGAGTATAATGCGAGTTAGTGTGAGTGAAGCTCTGAAGAAGCCAACAGGATGATTGACGACACGTCAGCAACTTCGATTCATCGACAACCTACACCTACATCCTGCTTCGAAAAGGAGCCAGCATTGCATTCTTGTCTCTTCTCTTTTGGATATAACGTCATTGTCAAGTAACAGCCCTTAAACTATTTTCCTCTCATAGAGCGTTAAGCAAAATTATCTTAGTTTACCCGAAACGTCTCCAAACAAAAGGCAAGCGTCAAACTGCCTCTTTGAATAATCGTTGATGTTGTAGATGACTTCGTCCGGTACGAGAGATGCGAATATCCTGGTGTGATCTTCTTCGGTGTGGCCGAAGTCGAAACTTTTACCTATGGATGCTATCGATTTTAATCCGGTGAGAGGAACCGCGCGCCTTTGCTTCCACTGGTCCTCCTCTTCGTCTTTAAAGATGCTGGTTCTCGTGGCCCACTGGTATTCGGACGAGTCTTCCGTAATTCGTCCTTCAAGACAAACACGATTCGACGCAATGGGAGTAACGCGCACTTACTCACTTTGCTCCTCCATAATCTCCATGACTTCAATTGGATTTTAAAAGTTCCGTCGGGATATGATGTGACAACTATTGACGTTGATGTACAATTAATGCATTGTTGTTGAATGGAATTTGTCGTATTTTTTCTAAAAAATAATAATAATAATATATATGTATGTTTTTTGCAATTCGTAATTACATTTTTCTACTCCGGTAACATAACATAGAATTATGTGAATAATTTTAAGTAATTTAAGTAGGTAATAAAAACAATTGGTAATTTTATTTTAGAATTAAACATAAATACATACATAAATAAATAAATATCGTTTAGTATCTTTCCTAACAAAACCCCAAATAATTAAATTCTAAGCAAAGTACGGACCTGTTCGGCCATATTTCATTATTACAGTTTGTCCGGGTCTTTCCTTAATTGGTATCAGTCAGTCACTTTCTTATATTTATGAACAGACTTTACAGAGTAAAATGCGCACCACTTTCAGTCAAGCTCTGAAGAAGCCAACAGGAGGAATTCGAAAGGTTTGTAAATAGGAAAAAGTTTTTTGTCTTTCCGAACGAGTACTATTCCAGTTTTGGTGCGGTTAAGTATTTCAGACTACCTATCTATTTTAATTAACCTTTTTCTTGCTTCTCATCGATTGTCAATGGTAAAAGAGTCTTTGTTAGAGAAAAAAGACTCATTATTATTTAGCGACAATTTTTAAATTACCTTTAGCGACGGTGGACGGTTTTAGTTCATCCGACGTTCGTTCAAATAGGCTTAATTACCTGATTAATAAATTAGGTAGCATAATCGATGTACGTTGATGGGATGACATGAATGCGGACGTTTCCCGATGCATTATTCACACCCGTAATTATTGTATACGTTTTATGAAAAATTGTACCCCTGGCTCTATGAAAACCACAATTTTCCCTGCCGATAATTGAGGGCATTTGTTGTTCCATCCGGATGGGTTGTTAGTTAAAGACCGTAATTACAGTTAAACTTCATAATCGATTCCCGTCGAAACACACTCAGTTTCTGATATAAATTATTCAATAATCCGATGTCACTCGATTGATTTGTTTGACGGTGGTTTCCGTAATTTGATTAAATATTTTCCTTTTCGCTGGGTATTCCCTTTTTTAAGTCATTCTAAGAGACTGCTTAGTAGTTTACGTCTAACAGCAACCGAATTAAATAATTTCATTAGCGAACCATCAGTATAAAAAAAAATGACAAACTGGGTGCGTTTTTTTATATCTAGATATATGCTCAAACTCTCAACCGTGTTATATTTCAAAATAATATGGTAGCTAAACAATTAAATGATTGAATAAAAAAATAAAATTATTAAAAGTCAGCGCTAAAAACGTTTTGGTATTCCCCACGGCACGGCAAACTATTGGGTTGTTCGGAAAGTCATTTCGTTTTTTTTTGGGGAACATGAAAGACAGTTTTCGTATAATGAATAAATATTTTATTAAATTATATATTGACCGTTCTGGTCCAACACCTTTTGCCATCTTTCTGGCAGTAACATAATTCCCCTCTCATAAAAGTTTTGGTCCTTGCTGGCAAAAAACTGGTTCAGGTGGTTTTTGACATCTTCATTTGAGGTAAAGGTTTTGCCAACCAAAAAATTTTGCAGGGACCGGAACAAATAGTAGTCGGAAGGCGCCAGATCTGGAGAATATGGTGGATGTTGCAGTACGTCCCATTCAAGCCGTAAAAGTTTTTGGCGAGTGACCAAACTTGTGTGAGGTCTCGCATTATCCTGGTGGAACACTACACCCTTCCTGTTGATTAATTCGTGCCTCTTCTCTTTAAGTGAATCATTCAATTTGTCCAGTTGATGACAATAGACTTCTGAATTAATCGTTGTATTGTCCGGCAAAAGCTCAAAAAAAACGATTCCTTTGACATCCCACCAAACGGAGAGCATCATCTTTTTTTGGTGAATGTTGGCTTTGGACACGCTTTGAGCCGGTTCATCTTTTCTGCTCCATGACCTCTTGCGTTTAACATTGTTATATACAACCCATTTTTCGTCCCCAGTAATAATCCGCTTCAAAAATGGATCATTTTCTTGACGTTTGAGGAGCGAATCACACACGTCAACGCGACGACACAAATTTCGCTCCGTAAGGACATGAGGCACCCACACATCGAGCTTCGAGGTTAAGCCCATGCCTTTCAAATGGCCATAAACAGTCGAATTCGACAAATTTAATCTCTCACCGATCTCTCGTGTGGTTATTCGCCGATTTGCATCAACTAATGCCTTTATCGCATCTTTGTCAGCTTCGACCGGCCTTCCAGACCGTCGTGCATCTTCGACATCAAAATTGCCGGATCGAAATTTTGCAAACCAGTTCTGGCACTGGCGTACTGTTAACACGCCTTCTCCATACACATCCGTCAATTTTTTTCTCGCTTGGACAGCATTTTTACCTTTTCTGAAGTAAAAAAGTAAAATATGACGAAAATGCTGCTTATTGCTCTCCATATTTAAAAGGGCACCAACCAAAAACTACTGCGTAGAATTAATAGAACTTTTTCACACACAAGCCTTGCAATATCAGCTCTCAAGACATATAATGGTTATGCGGCTTAAGTGTGAAGTTGGTTTCGAAAAAACGTAATTAAGTCCTCTGACGGGAAAAAACGAAATGACTTGCCGAACAACCTTATATATCCTATAAGAAAAGCACGTAAAGCATGTTACTGTAGGATATACGCGGCGCAATATTAGTGGTTACAAGTGTATACATGTGGCACCTTAAGACAAGTCACTGTGTATACTTAGAGATGCACAGGCCAGTCAAAGTGTTAATAAATGGCTACGTTAATTTTTAGTCGAAACATATTTCACTCGGAAAATGTGTATTTGTGATGATTCTTAATGTCGTACTTTACGTTTGGATTCTTTCAGGTACATTATAATGCCACTCTTCTATATTATAGATCATGACAAATCCTACATTTAGCTTGGGAGCAGAATGGAAATAAACGAAGCGAAAATGAAATAAAATGTAACCGCCCCGTTAGCGTTTCGATAGACCGCAAAAATTGGATGAAATTTAGCCGTGTCCGCAGAGAATACAGAGTTTTAAAAGAGCCGAGTAATTTGGGCCACAATGCGGGGGTTTGATCACTACACCGAAAATCGCTTAACCGCTGCGGATCTCTCGTGCCCGACCCCCGTTGCACTCGTTCCCTGGTGCATTGTTCTTCGATAATCTTTGCTCGACGCTCCGTTTCACCCATTTGCATAATTTTCATTTATAATTTCGGTCCCCTCCGAAGCGACGCGATATTTTTGGCTTTCCAAAATTGTTCGCTATCTTTAACATGTACCGGGCGCTCGATTTATCTCGATAATATTTTAATTGGCCGTAACTTTTTTGTTTTCGGAGATATCGAGGTAAACAGAAAACAAAATGTACTGTTAGTAGTCATTTTTTTTCTAAGAGACGTATAAAACAATTCACTATCCATTTTCTGACATATAAGCCTACATCATTTATTTTTTTAAATGAAACACCCTGTATATTATATACTTGTTTAGTTGAATATTTTTTTAAAATAAAATAAATAAGAACCAAAGGTACAGATACTAGATATATCGAAAAATGACATTAAAACCTTAATTTGAAGTCTAATAATGGAAAGGTATTTAAATCTAAATGATCGTTAAGCAATACATTTCAACCTCTCATTTTGTTGATCTCCATGGCTTCCAATAAATTTAATTTTCTACTTTTTGTGGCTGTATGTGAAATATCAAAATTGTCTTCAAAAACGTGTTTACGTGTGTTGCATAATTAGAATCTAGACTATTGGTTTTAAAGGCTCTTTTATGTTCGTTAATGCGTTTCTTGAAGGATCTACCTATTTGTCCAATATAAATTTTAGGAAGAGATACGCATTTCAACCTGTAGACACCCGATTTTAGAGATTTTGGACATTTTGTATTTTGTGCACAAAGTAATAATTTATTACGTTATATGTCACTTGTTTTTATTGCTGCCCTTCCCCTTCCGAATTCCTTATAAAATTGTAAACATTCAAAACAATTCGCTGAGGTAGTTCATCTTCTAAATTGTCATTAGGTTCGACTACCATCTCCACTTCGTCTTCAAATTCTGCATTGTTTTCCATGTCTTCTTCTAACAGGGGAATATCTGGTTCATTCCACGGCCTCCACATTTTAAAATGTTAAAAAACAGGAACCCTTAAATGTTTAATATAATATAATTATCTATAGTCTAAAAAAGTCTTAAAAAAGACTGTTGTTGTTTACAAATCGAAGAACTCCGCCTGTGGTAGTGATGGGTGGATCGAGTAGCCCATCACTGCCATTGCCGGTCCCAAGCCCGGATAAAGGAGGAGGGTTGTGACGTTAGGACCCTATCACACGTAAAACCCCAAATGGGAAAAGCTAGGACAAAAGGCAGAATGAAAATACAGAAACGGAAAAATGGTCCCCGGGTGGAAATCCACACCTTCGATGAAGGGAGCCCCATAGGATACGGGGGGGGGGGGGGGCAATTCTGCTTTTGGTCAAACAGCAAACCCAAGCTTACATCTCAACCAAACCAAAACAAAAAACAGTAAAAACAGGAAACTAGTATGTGCCACCTGGAACATACAGGGTTGGCGAACAAAAGAAACAGAAGTCTGAGAGGAATTTAACAAAGGACAAATAGACACACTGGTAATGAGCGAAACAAAAAAGAAAGGACATGGCACTGAAGACATAGATGGGCACCTACACATGTGGAGCGGTATTAATAAAGAAAACAGAGCTAAAGCTGGGGTTTCGGTACTTATCAACAAGAAATGGAAGAAAACCATTACATCATGGGAACCCATTAATGAACATATAATCACAGTACACCTGAAAATGTACGGCAGATCAATAGTTTTATTAGGAGTATATGGACCAACAAACGACAGCCCCGCTACAGAAAAAATTACATTCTTTGAAACTCTAAAGGAAGAAATTGAAAAAGTGAAAACTAAAGAAGAAATAATAATAGCTGGGGACTTTAACGGAAGGACGGGAAATAAAGCACATAACAAAACAGTAGGCCATTTCGGGGAGGACACAATTAATGACAATGGTGAAAGATTAATTGAAATTTGCGAATTAAACGACTTAAAAATTACCAACGGCTTCTATAAACGTAAAGACATCCACAAATACACCTGGATACAAGAAACTAGGAATCTAAGATCCATAATAGATTACATAGTTGTTAGGATAACTACAACAATTAAAATACAGGATGTAAGAGTTAAAAGAAGCGCTGAATGTGGAACCGATCATCGACTAGTAGTTGCGTACATGCACTTTCCTTGGTATGGAGTAGCAAAGAAAAACAAAGAAGAAATAGCAAAACAAGAACAACAAAAAGACAACCAAAACAACCAGGAAATAAAAGAGAAAAGATTTAAAATTCACCTCCTAGAGGAAGAAACAATAAGAGATTTGTACAGAAGTAGACTTGATGAAAAACTAATAGAGTTCAATTTTAATAATTTAACAGACACTTACGAACACGTGAAGAAACAGAGAAACAAAAAAACTAATTAGTAAAGAAAAAAATGAAAAATGGGATAGACTCTGCCAAAACATACAACAGTATACAGGAGGTACAAGATGCTCGGAATCATGGAGAACAATAAGATCTGTCAGATCACATACCAAAGAGAAAGTCAATATACAGTTTATCAAAGAAACCGAATGGGAAAATTACTATCAACAACTACTAACGGAGGCACGACCACAATTCTGGCAACAACTAACATACCAAATAATGTTCGAATTGTTTTCGGAGCGCGAGCATTGAAGATGCCAAGTGAGATTTTGGCGAAACGTCTGCAGGATTCCAGTCGGATGCAAGATTTGCAGGATTCCAGTCGGATGCAGGATTCCAGTCGGAGTTCAACGAGCGAACGGATGATATCCCGGAATATAGTGTCATCATATACATCATATATATATATATATATATATATATATATATATATATATATATATATATATATATATATATATATATATATATATATATATATATATATATATATATATATATATATATATATATATAGAACCATGTAGAAGACACAAAAATACAAACAGAAGAATGTTCTTAAACGACAGGCGCACAAGACATAAATTATTATTTAGGAGAAATTTAGATTGTCTAATTGAGGAATTAACTAGAACAAGGCCGATGAAAAACGAACATTTAGTTGATTTCTGTGGTAGGCTACAACTTTTAAAGAGTAGTGTAATACGGCGGATTAGTAACTCAGAAGAATGAAAAACTTTTGCATGTAAAATATCACGCTCAATACATTCATAGCTGGATGCATCGGGACGCTCAAAAAAAAATAGATTCTTTAGAGGAAGCCATTGCTTATGTTTCTGAGTTTTAAAATTTCGAAAACCTCTACGGAAATCATCAACAATTCAACACGAAACAACATTTTCATCCATTTCAGCCTGGAATAAATCGCAACACAAATTTCATGCCAAATCATTTCCAAAAACCACAATTTCCATCTCAACCGATAAATATTCAACCGAGGCAAATGCCTCAAAGACGATTTCCAACAAATCGGCAAGTTTTCGGACCCCCACGAAATGTCTTCAATATCACCCAACCAACTTCCTAAACCGACACCAATGTCAGGTATCTCGAGACAAACAAATAATTCATTTACAAGACGACCGATAAGACGAAATTATTTTACTAACAACAATCAACCGATCAGAATTGACGGTTGAACAAAATGAGTATGAAAATACATCGCATATCGACCAAAACGTCAAAACACAAAACCCTACCGACTGCGCCACTTAAATGCTTTTTATTATTCCAGCCTTTGTATCGGCCAGTCCGAATAAAACTTTATTTTGCTTTCTGTATAAATTTTGAACATTTAAGTAAGTTACCGAATAGGTACCTACCTTACGAACCACCCGGCGCGTTAATTTTATTCAGCGAGTCTTCGCCAATTACGCCGTAACAGTATCCTCGCTTATCCGGGACAAAGGAAAATTAACGAGCGTAACTCAACTACAAACGAGCACTTGATTATGATTCCCCTTTCACGGTTAATTAAATATTATAAATATATCCGGCGGTTTCGTTGATTGGCCGCTTCTCATTGGTCGTCCGCGTGCCAATGACGTGAAAAGGCGGAGTTAAGCGACAGCGTGACGCCCCGCGTCCTCGCGACTCGATCACATTGGAGGTGGCAACGCTACGATCGTTCTGGGATCCAGTTTGCCATGAACTTTTTGTCTGGTCGTATTTACGTCACTCCTTCCCACAGTCTATATTTATTTAACAATAAAAACCGTTGATATTTTACGTCAAAGTGCAAAATTCGCGTGGTTTATTGACTAACATGGAACTGCCGACTAGTGATACGGACATTAAAGAATCTAGTGAAGCGGTTACCAAGCCAGTACCCAGGCCGTTCTCGATAGAAGCGTTGATGAGTGATTGCGGACCCAGGAGAACTGTAAATCACGTAAACTCGTGGGATTTGTCGCCGGCGCGCAATCAACAGTACCACGCGAGAGAGATAACCAGGGATACGGATTCCGAAAGCAGCTTGGATATGGATCTCGCTCAGGATTTGTCGAGGAGAAGTCAGAAAGACGGTAAACGTTTGATATTGAATTTTATCTAACTGTTCGACCTAGATACTTCCGCATTTACATTAGTCATTTTACTAAGTTAAATATGTTTTTTAATCTACGATAAAGACACATTTTCGTTCAGTGTTTTGTTGGTTTGTCGTCCTCGGGATATCTGACGGGATATAGCGTATATCCTAGGGATATACTGTTTCAGCTAAGGGACATCGTCTCAAGGATATACGATGTTACTAATTGGAACGTCCACAGTATATCAGATACGTAGGATGTTGTTAGAACATACTAAGGATATCCAGTTATACTAGTTGAGACGTCGCTAGGATCTTATATAGATATACCAGTGGACCTTACTTAATTATTAGGTTATTTCCAACAGCTTACGAGAAATACTGGAAAGTTAATATACAGTAGTCCAATTGGCTGTAAGACTACAAAAATTCTGTCCCAGTATTTGGTACTCGCGTGTGATGGAATTAACCTATTGGGTATGGTTGGTGAAGTCATCACTGGAATAGCAGGCGGTATTTGAAATGCACAACTTTTTTGCAGTTAATATCTGTTCTTTAATTTTGCCTTTGGTGGTAAAAGTGAAAGACTGCCGATTGATACAATTAATAAAACACTATCGTAGATATGAAAAATAGGTAAGGCCCGGGCAAGCTGTAAGAATGAAATATGGCCGAACAGATCCGTACTTTGCTTAGAATTTTATTATTTGGGGTTTTGTTAGGAAAGATATTAAACAATATTTATTTATTTATGTATCTATTTATGTTTAAATCTAAAATAAAATTACAAATTATTTTTATCACCTACTTAAATTACTTGAAATTATTCACATAATATATCAGTATCGCTATCATCGCATGTTCTAATTATTATTTGTTCTATATTATTTGCAATATGGATGTATGATTGCTCTGCTTTTTCTATTTGTTTAACAGAATTTGCCCAACTTTGTGGAGGGATGTTAAAAACTTCGGTTTCTATAAGTTTAAGGACATTGGAGTTAACACGGGGAAAAACATTGTTACGACGAATGGCAGATTTTAGTTGGTGCAAACATGTTCAATGGGATTAAATATGCAGTGGTAAGGTGGAAGCCTTAAAACTGTATGCCCTAGATTTTTTGCATAATTATCATAGACGTATTCGTTTTGTAGAACCTCAATTAATTGCTTTTGGGCATAATCTTCGTGAAAATAAATGTCGTTATTATACATATAGTTTTGGATTGATGCTTTTGGGTCACATGAGGTAGGGGTTTTAGTCAACTGTTTACTGTGGTACCTTGCATTGTCCATTACAATTACGCTATTAGGAGGAATGTTTAGGACTAGTTTGTATTTCGACTAACTTCCAAATAAATCAGCGGTGGTGTCTTCATAGTAATCCAGAGAAGAATCTTTAATATTTTTCGCAGACAGAGAAAGTCCGTTTGGAATCCAACGATCTGTAGAGCCAGCATGCAAAATAGTCATTCTTTTACCTCTTTTTGATGGCGCGTTTGTTTTAGACTTATCAGTTGAGTAAACCCAACCCTTTTCCGAGGTATCATGTGTCGAACCCGGTTTCATCCAAGTAAATAATCGGCCTTTGTTGTTCTCTGTAAATCCTAATTTTTTCTAGATATTCCAGTCGCCATTTCCGAATTCTAAAAGATTCCATTAAAACTTGCCTTTTGTCAATTTTTTTAAATCTAAAACCCATGTGTTGAATACACTTCCATAAGTTAGTTCTACCACATTTAACACCGGTTTCATCTTTTTCAAGCCTCCTAATTAAGATATCTAATGTAGGCACGCTATGTTCCTCGTATAACTGGTAAATTTTACGCCGTATTATATCTTGATCACTTTTATCTACACCCGAGAAAATGTCAGCATCGCTCCTTTTTTTCCTCGCTGAAATGGGATTATTCACAATTTTCGTCAATGTGGCCGTTTCTTCTAAAGATGCTCGCTTCTTGGCACCACGTTCAATGAGAGTCAAATAAACATTGTTTATAACTTCCTTAATCTCAATAGAATAGTGTTTTCTACATTTGGGCGGGAGCATCTCCTGAGATACTCGCACCTATTTTGCATAATTCGCACACGATTCAACACACGCTGTATTACACACGAAATAAGAATGATTACTAATAAACTTAAACTAAGTAGTATACCAAACCAAAGAATATTAAACACAGGTAGGTATAAAAGTATTTTCTATTACGGATAATCCCATTCAAAAGCAATTGGTCACTTTCTTATATCTATGAACATACCATATATTGGGTTGTTCGGAAAATCATTTCGTTTTTTTTAGGGAACATGAAAGACAGTTTTCGTATAATGAATAAATATTTTATTAAATTATATATTGGCCATTCTGGTCCAACACCTTTTGTCATCTTTGTGGCAGTAACATAATTCCCCTCTCATAAAAGTTTTGGTCCTTGCTGGCAAAAAACTGGTTCAGGTGGTTTTTGACATCTTCATTTGAGGTAAAGGTTTTGCCATCCAAAAAATTTTGCAGGGACCGGAACAAATAGTAGTCGGAAGGCGCCAGATCTGGAGAATATGGTGGATGTTGCAGTACGTCCCATTCAAGCTGTAAAAGTTTTTGGCGAGTGACCAAACTTGTGTGAGGTCTCGCATTATCCTGGTGGAACACTACAACCTTCCTGTTGATTAATTCGGGCCTCTTCTCTTTAAGTGAATCATTCAATTTGTCCAGTTGATGACAATAGACTTCTGAATTAATCGTTGTATTGTCCGGCAAAAGCTCATAAAAAACGATTCCTTGACATCCCACCAAACGGAGAGCATCACCTTTTTTTGGTGAATGTTGGCTTTTGACACGCTTTGAGCCGGTTCATCTTTTCTGCTCCATGACCTCTTGCGTTTAACATTGTTGTATACAACCCATTTTTCGTCCCCAGTAATAATCCGCTTCAAAAATGGATCATTTTCTTGACGTTTGAGGAGCGAATCACACACGTCAACGCGACGACACAAATTTCGCTAAGTAAGGACATGGGACACCCACACATCGAGCTTCGAGGTTAAGCCCGTGCCTTTCAAATGGCCATAAACAATCGAATTCGACAAATTTAATCTCTCACCGATCTCTCGTGTGGTTATTCACCGATTTGCATCAACTAATGCCTTTATCGCATCTTTGTCAGCTTCGACCGGCCTTCCAGACCGTCGTGCATCTTCGACATCAAAATTGCCGGATCGAAATTTTGCAAACCAGTTCTGGCACTGGCGTACTGTTAACACGCCTTCTCCATACACATCCGTCAATTTTTTTCTCGCTTGGACAGCATTTTTACCTTTTTTGAAGTAAAAAAGTAAAATATGACGAAAATGCTGCTTATTGCTCTGCATATATAAAAGGGCACCAACCAAAAACTACTGCGTAGAATTAATAGAACTTTTTCACACACAAGCCTTGCAATATCAGCTCTCAAGACATATAGTGGTTATGCGGCTTAAGTGTGAAGTTGGTTTCGAAAAAATGTAATTGAGTCCTCTGACGGGAAAAAACGAAATGACTTTCCGAACAACCTTATACTTATATTCTTTGGAAAGTGAGTGGATTGATCCCCGAGAAATACATCTCTCTTCACATAGTCCAGTAATAGAGGAAACTAGATGTGCTTCATAGAATCCTAATATGCCTTATTCTCGTCATTTAAAACATTATAACTCCGGCATACCCTTTTAGCTTTTAAAACGTTAGCGTTTTCTGCAAATTTCTTTGCCAGCTTTGGAAGTATCTTGAACTGAGGTGGCTTTTACTTGATGAAAATCCATTTATCAAAATAAATACGAACTAAAAGTTCAGATTTTCACGAAAAATGACCATAAAACCTTAATTGGTCGTTAAGCAATACATTTGAATGTCTCATTTTGCTAATCTCCATGGCTTCCAATAAATTTAATTTTCTACTTTTTGTGGCTGTATGTAAAATATCAAAATTGTCGTCAAAAATGTGTTTTTCTGTGTTTAAGTGTGTAGCATAATTAGAATCTAGACTATTGTTTTTAAACGCTCTTTTATGTTCGTTACGGCGTTTCTTGAAGGATCTACCTGTTTGTCCAATATAAATTTAAGGACAGGATCCACATTTCAACCTGTAGACACCTGATTTTTGGAATTTTGGACATTTCGTTTTATTGTTTTTTAAAAATTTTCCTATTGTGTTGTTAGTTCTGAAAGTTATTTTTAAACAACATTTTGACAAATGTTTTGAAACTTTTTCACTAGGTTCTCCTATGTATGTAAATTGTTTTCAATTTTCGTGTTCTGTATTAGGTTTCGGATAAATAGAGTTTACTGTTGTCTGTATTTGTTTTTTATTTATAATTTTATCTATAATGGACCGATTGTAGCTGTTGTTCAGTGCAATTTGTTTAATGATATTAAGTTCTTTGTTGTAATTTACTGTTGAGAGTGGCGTATTAAGAAGTCTGTGTACAAAAGAGTGAAATGCAGCCATTTTGTGTGTATAAGGGTGATTTGAGCTGTTATGTATGACTGTGTCCGTGTGTGAAGGTTTATGGTAAATGGAAAAATATAATTTGTTTTGCGTCTAAAAAATTAATAGAGTTATCCTGTTCAATCTCGATAGTGAATTTTATACTATTATGTAATGAGTTAATGTAATTTAAACAAAAATCAATTGTCCGTCGGTTTCAACAAAGCAAGCAAAGACAAGTTAAGGTTTTCTTTCTATCACATAATTGACATCATCCACGTTTTTTTTGTTGTTGTTTACAAATCGAAGAACTATGTAGAAGACCCAAAAATACAACAAGACGAATATTGGTAATCGACAGGCATACAAAACAGAAATGATTATTTTCAAATTACCTCTAAGATAAATAGAGCACAGGTACTTATATTTACATTAAAAAAGTTCAGATTTTTACGAAATTGTAAATTTTTTACATAACAATTGTTTCGACAACACCACAATATATACCGAAAAATGACTAATTAATGTTGTT